CGACGATGCTAACCGACAGAGGGACACGATCAGAAAGATAATGTGGTGTAATATTGATTTTCATGTTAAAGAAAAGAATAAGGGTTCCCAGCCAATTTAATTTTAGTTAATCAATAGACACGAGTTTTGTTGTTCCAGTAATCATTATAGCTGCTTCATTTGATCGAGCTCCTTTTTATCACTTTATGTACAATACTCATCTTCATATTCTAGAATCGGTCTTATGAAAAATTGGTAAATGACCTTTAATGATTTCCTGTCGAGTTTGAATTTTAATTTTTTTATAACATTTATTCTATTCCAAGCTTAAGCTTTATTTGAGATGTGGACCGTCTTAGGTCATGAGCGAAAGTATTACCCAAGTATTTGTGAATACATGTACGTACTTGTTTGTGTGCCTTGCATAAAGATGGGACGATGGATATGCTTATGTTTGTTTTTCGTTATATCAATGAGGTTCTGCTTTTTGGCGGATTAAATTTACCAACCATTTTCAGGAAAGTATAGTTATCTTTTGCAGATATGTGATACGGATAGTTGAAACAGTGGCGGGATATTCGACTACAATGAATAGGTTAGTATCGTCGGCAAAAGTCGATCGACATCTGGCTTGGAAACTTTGCACACTTGTTCACCATTGATGTCGATAACGATATCGTTAATATAAACCAGAAACAGCAAGGGCCAAGTAATTGACCCTTGCGGTACAGCAGTGGTAATAAAGTTTGGAGAATATCTGCTACCTGGTAGAACAACTCCTTGTCTTCTGTCCGATAAGAAGAAAACCAAGAGGAAAGACGCCCAGATATAACGACGCAATTTAATTGAGAAGACCCTTGTGCCATTTTTTTGGTCTAACCATATTGAATTTTCAATTCAAATGAGATGGGTTTATGTATTTTACATGAATTTATCGATTTGCGCGAGATTTTGAAAGCTATAACATCTTAAAACGTGTTTTGTTTTTCATTATAAATTGAACACTTCACTTATTTATTCCCCTGCACTGTTTGTAATAAAAAAAACAGACTTACGTAAGCGCCAGGATAAAGAACATAAAATCAACAAGAAATAAAAGTTCCACATATCTGAAGCGGTAGTTATTGTACATTAAACATAATCTACTTTGTTCTTATCAATTTCTTAATTTTGTCATTGTGTCCCATATATATATTTCTGTGACATTGACAGCGATAAAGTATTACATGAGTGAACAATTTACAACAATTCCACAAAAAATGACAAAAGTCTGGATAAAGTGTGATCTCTGGGATGCATTAATATATATAAAAAATACATGAAAGTTAACTGGGTTTGATTGAGTCTGTACATGAGGGATATTGAAACCGCATTTTATAAAAGTTAATATTGTCGCAATATGTATGCTTTAAACAAGACATGCATAAAGGAATAACAAGTATTCTTAAAACCTGGTTTTCTCTCACTTTCGTTGATGTATTCGGAAAAAAAGATATGTCAAGATATTATATGAATTTATATTTTTCACATACATATAACAATTCATAGTCCGTTGTCGTCGTTGTGACCTTTTTGATTGTTGCAATTCTGTTGAATAGTTGTTTTTATATTTGCATATCCTGATATCGGGTATCGGAATTAAAACTATCGCCATAAATGCACTGGCAAAAGTATGAAAACCTTATTTTTTGATCATGAACTATATATTAATTAACATTCATCAAGAAATTCGATCCTTTAATTTTGCATTACCATAAGATGTATAGTCTTAAATCATAAACAGGTTCATTTTCATGAATAGAATGCTTAATTTCTTATTGTACTTAATTAATTAGTGTTATATTCATGTATGTTTAACTTGACCATTGCAGTGCAGTACTCTGTCATTAACATCGCAGTTTCTTAATATGCTGTCATGTTTGACCACCGCACGATTGTATCACAGTGTTTCACTATCGCACGATCGCATCATTGTGATTTCATCTTCGCACGGTCGCTCCATAGTGTTTCGCAATTGCACGATCGCATTAATTTGTTTCATCATCGGACGATCTCACCTTACTGTTTCACCATCGCATGGTGCCATCATAGTTTTTCACTATGGCACGACCGCAACATCTCACGACCGCATCTTAGTGTTTCATTATAGCACATTTGCATCAAAGTGTTTCCCTGTCGCACGACCGCATCATATTGTTTCACGATGACATTATGTTTCCCCATCGCACAATCGCATCATAGCGTTTCACTATCATGCAATCGTGATTTAACCATCGTTCTGTAGCGTTTTCATCATCGTGTAATCCTACTATTGTGTTTCCATCATCGCAGCATTTTAAATCGTGAGTTAAAGCAAATAAAAATGCCACGATTGTCGTAACAGAACACCGTACTCGCTACGCTACATATAAATGTGTAACGATAACATTATTTGTCTAGAAAGAGTTTTTGTAAATTGTAAGCTTTTGATTCACATTATACTTATCTTACTTTCAGATTTGATTCATTATTCTAAAATCGAGCATTTTGGAGAGAAGAGAGTCAAACAGGAAAACTATTCAATTTACTTGTAGAAACTTTTATTCTGATTAAAAATTAAAGACACTAAACTATTTTAATAGTTTATACCATCAGAGTCATTATCGGAGCAGGTTAATGTCCCTACACTTAAATCATTTAAAATTCTATCATTTTTATCTTTCTTCCCTCTCCCCCCTACCGAGCACCGACTCGGCACTACTTGAAATTCACTATAATTAAGGATTAGGAAAATGCATGACAAAAGTGACAATCTAAAACACAAGACATACTAAATTGAGATATACCTATATAGTTACATTCTTTTTTAAATAATATCTTTAGATATAACTTATTATCTTTCATTAAGAAGTCGCAATGTCATTTCTTGTTCGATCATTAGATATAAGACAGAGGTGCATTTATAGGCTTGCGTTCTTTTTTCTTTATAAGAATATATTCATCAGACAACTTGATGGTGCTTATAGGCATCCGTACTTGTTCTGTTGTCATTAAATACATTCATAAGACGAAATTACCATGAAAATGTTTTCCTATAGCATTAAGATAACAACAAGCCTAAGGGGACGCCGCCGACACCGCCGACAAAAGTAACCCCTATATCTTTCAAGGCGACACAAAAATGTGCAAAAAAGCAACCCTAACTGCGATAGTCCCGCGGTAAAAATGTGGTGATAAATACTGCAAAATCAATCATTCATTACAATTTATATGTTAATTATTACTTGAATCGTAAACATTTTTTGCTTTCCTAAAAATCTCGGTGCATTTTTCTTGAGGTTGTTTTTCTTGAGTTCTTTAGCTAGTATGGAGGCATGCAGCTTTTATACACGTAGAAAATTGGACAGTAACCCTCTACTATTGCACAAACATGTAATAAATAACGAAACATGGACTGGTAGTGTACGTATCATCATATCGAATGTTCAGGGTTCCCGCCTTTATATTTTTCCCGCCATTCTAACATCAATTCCCAAAACAATGTTAAATATTGTGGCATTTTTCCGACACCAGATACATGTTATTATCGCGGTTATTCTGTTTATTATTGTGTTTCATTAAAAGCATCATTTTATCTGTATGATATCAACTATAAATAATTGTTTGTATTTTCTTTCTATCTCGTTCACAGGCTATTGCAATACCTAATTTGAATGAATCTTAGTTTTGTTGAAATATTAAAAACACTAGATCTATCATGTAATTTTTCCAGTGCCTAAAGATTTTAAAGAAACGATAAATAGTTAGATCTACTTAACCCCTTTAATCTCATAAGTAACGCGATGATTATCTATCTCTTGTTACAAGATATTTGATACTATAATCAAATTATTATAGTTATAACTTGTAAAGAACTTCACATTTTTTTCTCTTATGATGTCATTTCTTATATTACGTCATACATGATATCACTTGACTTTCCTTCCCACGAAAATCTAGTCTTATCACTTGGCCAAGACAATAACAAACTATATTAGATTCTATTTTATTTTATTACCGATTTTAGAATAAAGGAGAGTGAATTACACACTTGTTTCAACATAGTTAACAGTATAGAATCATGCTGTCGCAAACATTGTGTAGAACAGTCATATTGTCATGTTGCCAGATACAAAATAACTACAAAATACAAAATTTTATATATAACACATTAAGAAAATTAATAAGTTTAATTTCATGTAGGAATGAAAATACCACATGTACTTTCCATATAGTTATTATATATACAAAGTAGTCAAGTGTTTTATTATTTTTAACATATTTTATCAGGACCACTTACGTGACTGTTAAATACCACGTGACTGTGACCGTGCAAATAGTTAAATATTTATATGAAAAAATGTCAATCAGTTTGTTCATTGGTTACATTTCTACTCTCATTCATCTTATAGTGCTGGATATAAATAAAAGACATGCTGCTTACATATTTAATGAATTGCAATTCTGAATTGTATAATACAATAATGAATAAATGTATAACTCTGAATATATTAAAATTTTCTCCTTGATTGTCGCAAAAGAACTTCAAATTGTCTGTGAAACAACACGCAGAGAAAAAATCTATGCTAAGATATAGAAATGCCTCCAACAGATCGCTATTACATTATTTAAAGTCGTATTCTTTAATGAAGTTGCGTTCTTTTGATTGACGATGTTCACTGATAAACAATTTCCGCTGATCTTCACAAATTAAAAGAGAACATGGCTCCAGCACGTTTTGCAAATGGAGATGTCTAAGTTCTCTTGAATCAGGTACAATTACCAAGATCTTGTCACTTCTTTCTGGATCACAAACAGCAACATTTCCGCAGTTGGTGAATGTTAGGCCATGTGGATATTCCATCTCCTTAGTCTTAATTGTAGTTTTCAGATGCCCTGTCAGTGTAAATTCATGCACGGCATTGTTCTTCCAGTCAGACATGTACATACTCTCATTATCGTTACTCAGAGATACATATAGTGGCTCAGCCAATATGCTTGTATCACTGACTTGATGAAGAATATAATATATCCATGTCTATCACCTGAACAGCAGGACAAAAACCAACAAAAGTTACTGCCATTATACCGTTGTGATGATCTATTCCATAACATCCATGTTTGACTCGCAGACTGTTACTTACAGACAATCCATTTTGTGTATTTATCAACATGATTTTGCCCTCAGCAGGTAAAGTTGTTGCAGCAGACGAGGAATTTATTGTAGTGACGTCAGCTGGCCTACTCGACGTTTTCAATGTTGATGTAATTTTACCCTCTTTATGGTTTAATACTTTTAATGATACATTATAGCTATCTGCGAATAGAATTTCAGTTTCAGACATGATTGACATTCCCGATATATAACAATCTTTTTTTGCGTTGGTATGTACGTCGATTTTCCTCACAAAACGTGTCTCATTGTCAATGATTCTTTTTGTGCATCGTCCCGAGAATTTCTTCACTTGTCTATCAAGATTGCCAAGGCATATGTTATGCATTTTCACATCCTTCAATTCTTTAGCAGGAGTATATTTTAAAGTGTTTATTTGACTTTTAGATGAAATTTCCCTATTGATTTCATAGCATCTTCGCAGTTTCTTTAGTATTTGTTTTGATGTAACAAATAAGTTATTGATATTGTCTTTACACTGTTCTTGTTTATTTTGAAATTGTTCGATTTCATCGTTCAAAGCCTCGCATCGACCCTGAAGCTTTTGCTGTTTAGCGATATCGCTTGCACTGATCTTTTCAACTTCTTGTATAAGGTCTATTTCTACCCTGTCAAGATAATTGTTCATCTCTTTACGAAACGTCTTTATTTCCTTCAATATTGTTATCTTTATCTCATCGGCTGTTACCAGACTGCATTTTATTTCTTGTTTACAAGAATCCAGGTTTTTCATAAGGTGATCAATACTGTGTTTGAGTTGAACAAGTTCATCACCGTTGTCATAGTTACAAGACACGTCTGAAACTAGTTGAACCTTGCAGGAAGTATGTTCAAGTACCGTACAATCTCCACACCCAACACTATTGTGATCCTGACAATAAATCTTTACTATTTCGGTTTTGTGAACATCACATAGTTCAGTGCACGGATCACTTTGAGAAGACAGGACTGTCAGCATTTCATCTTTAGATTTGATCACGTGATTCTTTGTCCCCGCCAACTTCCTGTGTGCCTTTATACAAGATGAACATATAAACTCATTACAGTTTTCACAGTAACCCTCTGCTTGTACAATATCACCGTCACCTTTGCATGGCTGACATGATCTTATAATATCTGAAGATCCTTTACGTCCTGAAACTTCCATTTTGTCTATACACTTAGTTTTTCATAAACATATTTCACCTAACAAAGAAGATTTGTCAACTATATAGTTTCCAAAAGTCATATAATCAAGGAAATAAAATTAATGTAGGTTAAGTGAAGGAAGTTAAATCTTCATATTCATTTTCAAACTGATATGTGAAAACGTGTATCCCACAATTAACTACAATAAGTTTAAAAACAATATACTTTTGAACAGTGTAAAAGGACCAAATGCCTGTAGAGAACGTAATTGAAACTAAGCTTGTACGTTGTGTTGTAAATTATCTGTAAAATCTTCAAAAAGATAACATCCGAGAGCAATGAAAACAAAGCTAACATAAAACAAAGTTTCTGTATATATTGCTTGTGAAGAAATATTTTAACGTCGGACACCCCTAATAGGCACTATAAGAAACTGTAAAATTCACTACATAGGACACCTGTATGCAGAATTTAAACAAAATTTACCGTATGGTTTATGAGTAATGGACATTTTTCTGAACTAAAACCTTGCTATTAGAACGGCTCTTTTTCAAAAATAAGGAAACTCTAGATAATCTATAATATCATCATCATGAAAAATGTTTTACTATTGATCATTGTTAAGAAAAAAAGCATACATGTTACAAACCACACGAGCAAAATGATTGTTGCTACACAAAATGTTTTAATGTGTATAAAAATGTTATAATAAAAATCAGACACTTTTTGCATTCCATAAGGAATCTGAGAGAAACATAAATAATATTTAAATAAAAAAAATAAATGAAAGAAAAGTTGTCCATTCTAGGGTATGAACCTATGTTCCTCACTTTTAATGCAGTTGACAGTAATTCTAGCCTATTTAGATACCCTTCAAAGCGGAGGTTATGCATTACTACTATTAATTTTACAGCTCTACTAATGCACTTTATATATTTTAAAAGTAAAAAGTATTTTTAATGAGTTTTACTTACACAAACGGGTAAATATTTTGTTATATGGCGTAATCTTCTTATATTTTATGTAATATAATCATTATACGTTATTCGTTAATAACACACATGTCAGATGACATCGGTTCCTGATTATGCATTTAAAAAAGAATACGGCGTACAAATGTGTGCACAAACATTAAAACTAGTATACCATTAAACATGTACATGAATCTCACATTTGCTGCCACTCGTCCAAGATTTGGAATTCGTTGACATATCAACAAATTGTATACTACTTATTTACATGTGGGATTTTATATATTTACAATGCACCGACAAGATTTTGATATTTATAATAAAATAAGAAAGCGTGTCGTAAGATCAAACTTCTGTCTGACGTAAGACCTGTATGTTTATTTCCTCTAATAAACAAAAGCCACCAACAGCAACCAATAGCGGTATAAGTAGATAAATACAATAATGATTTTCACATTCCTATATTTTTGCAATAAGTTAATACAGGAAGTTTTTATATTTCATGCTCATCGGTCTGATAAAATAACTTCGTTCCAGAAGCTCCCTGGTGTAAAGTACCATTACAACAGGACGTAATTTAATTCCCGTTCGGAATTTAAAACAGGGAAGCGAACAAATATATATGTATTAGGTATACATGGTCACATACAAGAAAAATAAATACGAAAAGGTATATAGTATCTTTATAAAGTGGTTATTTTTCCATAAACACGTTATTGTATAGGACTGATTACTTCCCTAATTTAGATATTTGGGCATTTAGATAATTAAAGATTTAATTAATTTTGCGACTGAAATTACAAATGTTTAGTTGTAAATTAGATTACAATATCAAATTTACAAATATATCTATTAGGCAAACAAACGTGATTTTAATAGACAAACTGATTTGTAACACATTTGTTTTTTTGTATATGTACGGACATTTAGACGCACGTTTAACTTACTTCCCAACAATTATTCAAAACACTCCACAACAACTCTCAAATAACAATTTTCCTTGATAATTAAGGAAAACGTAATTTTGATCTGATGTTTTTAATTCAGTTTTTTTTGTGTGTGCAAAAATATCGAAACATTAGCTATTACAAGTATACTAAGACAACATATAACAAATTGCATAACTAAGAAGTATGTAAATGTCTCGTTTATTCTGTTTATTTTTGTGTTTCATGCAACAATCATCTTCGTATATCTGTGTGATATCAACTATGAATAATTGTTTGCATTTTCTTTCTATCTCGTACACAAGCTATTGACATTGCATAACGCTGTTTTATGATGAATAAATTTAAGTTTTGTTGACATTTTATAGCCACTAGTTTTTATCATGTATTTTTTTCAGTGCCTTAAGATTTAAAAAATGATAACAGTTACTTAACCATTTTATCTGATAGTTAGCGCGATGGCTATATATCTCCTGTTGCAAAGGCAATCTGAGTAAGATATTTGAAACTATTATAATTTTAAGACATTTATTTCTGTTTTGATGTCATTATTGATGTAGATAAGGTCAATTTACTGCCTATCTGTATACTCATCCTATATTTACACACACAGATGTAATCACTGTAGTGAATTACTAACTGTACATTCTCATTCATTCAGACATAATCACATGACATCCTTTTATTCATCATTAGACTTATGGGTAATGTCTTGGTCTTGTTGTGAGTTACTATGCTCAGTGAACTGTCTCTTGTTATGTCCTGTGTTGTTAAGTGATGTCCAATAAATATCTTGTATATTTGTTAAGTGAGAATGTGATTGGATGTGAGTGATTTCATATCATTTTATGCATGGGCAATTAACAATTAATTCTAAGGCAGAAATCATTTTCAAACTTTGCATTATAAAGGTTATTTCAGTAGTTCTTCATAGAACAGTTTAAATACTGTATTTATCTAAATCAACTTACTTTTGGTTTTTATCGAACAGATTTGCTATTATTTTATATAATAGAGGTCAGCCAGTTGCACCTGGTAAGATATGTTTTACTTTAAATAACTTAAAAGAAATGTATTGAAATGTATGAATTAAAAAAGTTGGAAATGTTTGAAATATGAAATGTTGAAATGATATTGATATTGAATTTTTATTTTAATTTGTCTTTTGTATTTCATGTATTCATAATTGTTTATTTATTTTATTTTGTGAGTTGAGGCAGATATAAGTTTAACTTATACATTCACATTAAGGTGCAATTTTTTATGCTGCATTTTTATGTTGCAATTCAGCATTTTATTTTTTTACAATACACCTTCCTTGATCATTTATTTTACATCCCACATCATCGCTTAAATTCAGGCAAAATAATGACAAAAATATTAAAATGATCTTATGTACTTAAATCCAGCTAAAAATACTTTTCTCGATGTTTCAGCATTAATTTCTGTTTAAATTCTATATATTTTGGGTTTGAAGCGTAAATATGTCTATATATGTTGAACAAAATTTAGACGCCAATAGAATCACCAAATAGTTTTAAAACAAGTCAGGTGACATGAACAAACCATTGAAGTTACAATGACAGATATTGTGGATATTGTATGATTGAAGCAAGCCTAAGTCATTCGTTTCCAGAGTTCACTTTGACAACTATTGTGAAATGCTAGGCCTCTAACCTGACCCACGCGGGTCAAGTTAGGAAACCACCATTTTATTCTTTAAATGGAGAAAAGTTTTGTTCCTTTGACTGTCTAATATATTTGTTTTGATGTCATTTACAGAATAATGAATGAAAAAGTAAAAACTAAGAAATGAAAATTTTGCCTGTGTCTCCCTTTAAAGATGGAAAAAGTCTCAAAGGATGAAACTGTAGGTGCCACAGGTGAGACAAAAACTTCTCTTTCAGAAGAAGATATGCTGAAAATACTCTCCTAACCCCTATTAAGATTGGTGAAAATGGAGGTACAAAACCCAAAGTTCCACCCCCTGTTACCAGCCCTTTGCTTGTTCCACCGGACACACCTAGTCATTTTTCTTTCACTTCTCCAAGCACTCCTGCCATTGTTTCAAAGCCACGAAAGATTCCACCTTTTTCTGGTGATGAACCCTTGGCTAAGGGTGAGATCTCCTTTTATGAATGGCGTCATGAGGTACGTTGCCTTATGAGAGACTCTTATATTCCTAGACTCCAGATATAACAAGCCATAAGGACTTCCCTTAGAGGCACAGAGAGGCGACTTGTAGTTTCTTTGGGTGATTCTGTATCTATTGATTCTATTTTTCAGAAACTTGAGTTTAACTTTGGTGAACCTGCTCGTCAAGGAAGTACTATGCGGGAATTCTTTAATTGTTCTCAACGTCCAGATGAGTCTGTGACTTTTTTGGTTGTAGGTTAGATATAACCCTTGAACAAGCTTTTGAAGGCGGACATATACCCAGATCAGGCCGTAATGAATTACTTTGTGAACGGTTATGGTCAACTAACATTCGTCATAAATTAGACACTGCTGTAAACTATGACCATTTTCTCCGAGATGTTATTGGCAAACTGAAAAGGAACTTTCTTTAACTAACAATACCAAGGTGAAAGCTCATGCCAATTTACAAACTTCCACTTTTGATGTTAAGAGTAAAATGGAAGACCTAGAAAAGAGGTTTAATACCAAGATTAGCAACATCCAATCAGCATGTGATAAGAAATTCAATACTATTATTGAACGTCTAGACTCTATGTCAACTTCTAACAGAGGAGGGAAATTCTCAAGGCCATCATAATTCCCTGAATAGAATAGTTTGAGATTCAAATATTGCCCCTATTGTTTTTCATCATGTAAATACTTATGGTCTTATTGATACAGATTCAATGGTTTCAACTGCGTCAAATTCATTTGATCAAGCATTGCCAAATAAGCCAATATTGTTAAACCTTGCAAATTTTGGCGTCGACCTGAATGTTTCTTTTGCCAATGGTAACCGGTTGAATATTTTTGGCTACATAGAAGTTTCCATTGCCATTCCGGAGCTCAATATTAAATTGCCAGTTCCAGTTTTAGTGGTACCAGAAATACAGGCATCTGTAACATGTCCTGTTATTCTAGGCACAAACGTTTTAAGGTACTGCAAAGCAGCTGTCTATAGTCAACCATCCAATGTTATTCCAAGTACATGGGTAATGGCTTTTAATTTTCTTGTCACTGACCAAGTACCTGTGAGATCAACTAATGATCATCCGGTGCAGATTGCTCCTTTTGAATCTGTTACTGTTCATGGCAATGCTAGAGACCTTATTAATAAACACAATGCTCAGAAAGTAATCTGTTTGTATAATATGCCATCTCAACCTGTTACTATTCAACCAAGATCTAATTTATGCGTTGTCAATGAAGTCAAGGTCGTTGACAGTGTTGCTTCTCATTCTTCTTCTTCATCTTCTTCTGAGCCTTCCTCGGACAATTTGTTTGCTGAACTTGGAATCAAAATTGACAAAAGCGCTATTTCGCCGCAACAAATATTTAGGCTTCAACAAGTTCTTGGCAAATAGAGTCATGTCTTTTCTAGAGAACCAACTGACATAGGGCATTGCAACTTAGTCCGTCATAAAAATTTTTTAAATTACTATAGCCCATTCAAACAACCATATAGAAAAATCCCTCCGGGAATGTATGAAGGGGGCAATCAAGGAAAGCGACAGCACCTTTTCATCAAATATAGTTTTAGTAAGGAAAAAGGATGGAACTCTTAGATTTTGTTTGGATTTTCGTATGTTAAATTCTCGGACTCGCAAGGATGCATACCAGTTACCTACGTTCGAAGACCAAGTTGATCTCCTTGTTGGTTCTAGGTTCTACTCTAAGCTTAACCTTCGCTCAGGTTATTGGAATATTGATATGGACGAGGAATCTAAACAGTATACAGGTTTTCCGTCGGTAATCTAGGGTTTTATGAATGTCAACGTATGCAATTCGGACTTGTTAACTCTGGCGCCACTTTTCAGCGTGTTATGGAAAAATCTTTGGGAGACCTTTTACTTAGAGAATGCTTAATTTTAATTGACGATATTTGATATTTTCTCGTACATTTGAAGATCATTTGAATCGCCTAGAAAATGTATTTCGCAGACTTTCATATCATGGCTTAAAACTTAAAGGCTCCAAGTGTGAATTCTTGAAGAAGTCTGTGACATATCTTGGCCATGTAATCTCTGATACAGATCCTGAAAAAAGATTAGTGCTATTATGAATTGGCCAATTCCTACCAATTTATCTCAATTTCGCTCTTTTCTCGGAACTGCAGGATTCTATCGCAGATTCATCAAAAAGCATTCTAAAATTGCCCATATCCTTTGAATAAGTTACTTGATGGCCATGGCACAACCAAATCTAAATCAAAGATTAAAGGTAAAAAGAGTAAATCACCAGGTTCTTGGACATGGAGTGTTGATCAACAATCAGCATTTGATACTCTTAAAGAAAAGCTATCTTCACCTCCTGCCTTAGCTTTTGCAGACTTTTCCAAACCTTTCATAGTTCATATAGATGCATGTTCTACTGGTCTAGGTGCAGTTTTACTTCAGCAGCAAGATGATGATTCAGAGCGTGTTATAGCTTACGTTAATCGTAGTTTAAGACCCAGTGAACGGAACTATCCAGCCCACAAGCTTGAGTTCATGGCACTTAAATGGGCTGTAACAATCAAGTACCATAATTATCTATATGGCAACAAATTTGCATTCATGACAGACAACAATCCCTTTACTTATGTAATGACTACTGCAAAACTTGATGCGACAAGGCCACAGATGGGTCACTGCTCTATATTCATATGATTTTGATTTAATTTATAAATCAGGTCATTTAAATGGTGGCTGTGATGGTTTAAGTCGCAAACCTCATATGTTTGCTGATAGCATTAAAGCCCTCTGTCTTGATGCGGTTGTTTTTTCTTTAACTTCAGACCGTTTGTAAGGTTCTGAAGCCCCAAGCTTTGAGGATTTTACTATGCCTCCTCATTCCACTGTTATAACATTTGAACCTGTAAATTGGGCCTTCGAGCAGTCTAAAGACCTAAATATTTCAAAAGTTATTTCTATTTTGCAGTACGGTTCTCCCAAAAGGGGAGGAATATACCCAAAATGGCAAAATCGTTACTTTGTGATATGTGACGTTTGATTACTTGTATTGAAATAGGTGTTCTCTACTGTACTGCAACAGTAGATGGTGAGCCCGTCAGACAATTGATTTTGCCTGCTTCTCATCAGACCATTGCCTTTCAAGGTGTCTATGACCAGTTTGGTCATGCAGGGCATGAGAAATCTCTTTGGCTTGCTCGACAACGTTTCTATTGGCCAGGGATGGAAGTTGATTTCAAGAGAATGATTAACTTATGCAAGTCTTGTGTCTGTGGGAAAACTCCTCAAAATTCAGCGGCTGAACTCGTACCCATTCAAACTTCAAGGCCAATGCAACTTGTTTGCATGGACTTTCTCAAGTTAGAGAAGTGCATAAGTGGGTACGAGGATGTCTTAGTCATAACAGATCATTTTACTCGTTACGCTAATGCTATCCCCTGCCGAAACCAGAAAGCCACAACCACGGCGCGAGCCTTGTATGAGCATTTCATCATTCACTATTCCTTCCCAGAGCAGCTTCATTCTGACCAGGGTCGTAATTTCGAGAGCAAGGTGATAAAAGAGCAAGCCAATGTCAGGAAAACAGGGACAACACCATTTCACACAATGGGTAATCCATCTGCAGAACGCTTCAATAGAACCCTTAATCGCATGCTACGTACCCTGACAGATGACCACAAAACAAGTTGGGCTGATTATGTTCTTCCTCTCTGCCAAGCATACAATGCTACTCCTGAACTGGATTCTCACCCTACTTCTTGATGTTTGGCTGGCACCCACGCCTCTCAGTAAACGCATATGTAGGCACAGCTCCTGGAAATGGGTCTGGTGTAAGCCATGCCTCATATGTTTCCAGAATCCAAGACCGTCTGAGATATGCCATGTCAACTTAAATTTCTTTTCATTAAACATTGACTGATCATTTCCATAGTCAATCAAATGCATAAAGTTTCTTCCTTTTATTTTATATCAATAAAAGGGAAACAACTCAAATACCCCATTGACAAATTATATCTATTGTTAACTCCCTTGATTTTAACATCTCTAGTATACATTTACATTGATATAATTAAAAGTTTATGTGTGATTATTTTATTTTCAACATTAAGGAAATGGCGGTGCCATTTAAATCTAGTTGGGAGTGTGTAGATAAGGTCAATTTACTGCCTATCTGTATACTCATCCTATATTTACGCACACAGTTGTAATCACTGTAGTGAATAACTAACTGTACACTGTACATTCTCGTTCATTCAGGCATAATCACATGACATCATTTTCATTCATCATTAGAATTATGGGTAATGTCTTGTTCTTGTAGTGAGTTACTATGCTCAGTGAACAGTCTCTTGTTATGTTCTGTGTTGTTAAGTGATGTCCAATAAATATCTTGTATATTTGTTAAGTGAGAATGTGATTGGATGTGAGTGATTTCATATCATTTTATGCATGGGCAATTTACATTATTTTTCTAAGGCAGAAATCATTTTCAAACTTTGCATTATAAAGTTAATTTTAATAGTTCTTCATAGAACATTTTAAATACTTATTTATCTAAAAATCAACTTTACTTTTGTTCTTTATAGAACAGATTTGCTATTAATTTATATAATAGAGGTCAGCCAGTTGCACCTGGTAAGATATGTTTTACTTTAAATAACTTAAATGAAATGTATTGAAATGTATGAATTAAATAGTTGGAATTGTTTGAAATATGAAATGTTGAAATGATATTGATATTGAATTTGTATTTTAATTTGTCTTTTGTATTTCATGTATTTATAATTGTTTATTCATTTTATAGGTTTCATTTTCACATCATCAAAATAAATAGAAATTGAACACCCAGTCGGAGTTGGTCATGTATTCCATCCAAACCATACTCTACACTTATATTAAGTCATCATTTGACTTCCCTTCCACAAAAAGTCTATTACAGGATTGTTTGCTTCAGCTAAGACAATAACAAACTATATTAGATTTTATTTTATTCTTTTACCGTTTTAAGAATACAGAGGGTGAATTACACTATAGTTTCAACTATTTATCAGTATATTTATACTGCATAATTATTGTGTAGACCAGTCTCATTGCCATGCTAACAGATACTTTAAAGTCAAACAAATTAAATGTTCATGCTGCACATCAAAGACACCGCCAAATGATGTGAAAAGTCAATCAACATTGAAAATCGTTCTCTATTACAGTTGAATATCCGAAGCACAAAGCAATTTTATCTCCATGTTCTTGGTACGTGGTCGTTGTTTTATAATAAAGTTGCCTTTTTTTGTGACTAAGTAGAACCAAATGCATAAATTCACAAATTATTGCCATGTCTGAAATTCTGAAATGTTTGTCTGTTGCGACAAAGATTGAAATGTCTGTTCGGATTAACATAAATTGGATAACAAGTAAAATTGAAATGATTGGTATACTTAAAATAAATTCAAGACAATATGTGCCGAGAATATATCCATTTAAATATTGGTACGAATCGCATAATGCGTGCACGCGGCGTCTAATGGAAAATAATAAGACACGTTAGCTTAACTCTGTCCACGCTCAATATCTTCAACCGATCTTTCAAGTCAGCATTTTTATGTGTATCTATGTATTTTAGAACATCTATGATCCCCACCGGTTGTCCATATGTGTGATTACTCTAGAAGAGTATTAGTAATTTGATAATTTGAAGGATAGTGCAAAATACCGATACAGAAATATGCCCCGATTCCAGAAGCTTCCCCTGGTTCTTTAACGTGCAGAATGTTAAAGCACTCATACACGGGACCTCGATTTAAAGTCTCATCAGAAAGACTAATTAGTAAATTAATGTCGAGATTACAAGTCTCGCACTCTAACCGATTGAGCTGTGCGGGCAGCATTTTTAGTGAAAATTTCGAAAATATGAGTTAACTGAATAGCGAATAGTGAAGACCATGTGACACGTGCGGTTGGATTCAATTTCCACCGGCAGGTTGAAGGTTCATAAACACTATCAAAGCCGTTTTAAATAATGGACATTTTCTAGCTAATGTCTAAACTTAAAAAAAAACAATTGAGGCAATGATTTATTATTAAAGTTCATTTTGTACATGTTGAAAATTTACGACGTTACAGAATCTTAGAAAAAGTGTAATCATACTACTTCACTAGGAAATCCCTTGCTATTTTTTCATTGGTTTATTTCAATTCGTACTATAAAACATAAAATTATGACTTAAACTGAAGAGGGTTCAGGAAAACTTAGATTAGTTTTTCCTGTTCTGTTCTGTGTTCTATTTTTATTTGTAAATCCTAGTAAAGAACATTATACTTTTTAAATAATGATTCATAATATTCATACATGAATCGGACTAACAAGCAAAAGGGTCATTTAATTGGTAGCAATATTCATTTGATATATAGTCAGTAAATCTATGAAACGATTTCGATGCAAGTTATGATTTCTTCAAAGGGTAAAATACATCACATGGCCGTGTAGTTTTTCCCGATTAATCGAAACTTATGTAAACCACTTTGGAGTCTTTTGTCTGGTCAAGACTATAGACTGGGGTGTAGAGGTCCGAACGGCTTGAAATCCAAATCAATTCAAACATAAAATCTTGTCATCTATAATAATAATCTAATATACACTGTTCTGTAACAAAAAGTCATATTTCAACGTTTATATTAAGACATGTATAAACGTTGAAATGCGATTTTCAAAACAGCGTATAGGATATGTTTTATTGATATATGTGATATATGTGATATATGTGATAAATTAATGTGCTTGGACTGACAAAATTTACAAACAATTCATTTGGATTTTTTTACGTTTGGAGCTCCTCAAAGTAAGTGTTTGTGGTCCTGATCAAAACTGAAACAATAGTTGCTGGCCATGAAGGGGATCAAACCCACTTTCGCTATGTAATACACCAAAATAACAAACCAATCTTTGTTTGTACCTCTTAATTAATATTTGAATAAACGCTTTATGTTTAAAGTGATTGGTTTCCTTACATTATAAAATACATATAATATAAATTAGTTCTAATAATATTTTTTCATCACATATGCTTGTTATATCCTTAGATATTATATCTTCGACCTTTTCTGTAAAAGTCTAAAACAATTTATTGGTTACTTTAGGTTGCCAACTGCAAGGACAAACTATTATCATGAATGTGTATATAGCAAGCAATCTGAATGCTCGTCAGGCATAATATCTTAATAAAAGTTCATCCATCTAGTGATATGGACAAAACCATTCATTTTTCGTAGCAAAACTTTCAAAATAAGTACTGACTGAATAGAGAGAACGATGTAAACTAGGATTTGTCGTCTGATCTTGGTCTGCACTGGTGGCATGGGTAGATTCAGTCACCGCCAGCAAGTTTAGATTTAAATACGTGTTTTATATGCTTTCTTTATTTTTTTCTGTCTATTGTATTTGGCCATAGATACTACCCACAATCGCACATTTTGATTTGACTCTAGAAGAACAAAGACAATATATGGTTTATAAGATGTTTATTTCAGTTGCTTTAACACAAATTAATTCAAATGATAAAAGAGTTAACCCACTATTCCTCCAACACTGAAAGGAAAAATATATCATAATAAAGGTTTATCAGACAAATATATCTATTTATAAATATGACTTTTACCTAACATTGTAACGTTGTGATGCGAATTTTGTTAAATATAGATGAGTTATGAACAATTTTGGTCGTTTCATTTGAAAATATGATCTTCCTTCCCTCTGCCCCCACCAATCACCGACTCGGCACTATATCACATGCACTATAATTAATCAAGGATTAGGAAAAATCATAACAATAGTGACAATCTTTAGATATAACTTATTATCTTTCATTAAGAAGTCGCAATGTCATTTCTCGTTCGATCATAAGAGATCTAATAAGACAGAGTGGCTTTTTATATTCTCTTTTATAATGATATATTCATCAGATAAAATTGATGGTGCTTATAGGCCTCCGTACTTGTTCTGTTGTCATTAAAATTTAACTAAATACATTCATAAGACGAAATTACCTTGAAAAGGTTTTCCAGCATTTAGATAACAATAAAATTAAGAGGTTTAAACAGAGGTTGGTTTGTGAATTTGGTGCATAACATAGCGGTAGTTGGTTTGATCTCCTTCATGGTCAGCAACTATTGTTTCAGTCTTACTCAGGTTAATAAAGATTTATCAGACAAATATATCTATTTATAAATATGACTTTTTTCAGTTGCTTTAACACAAATTAATTCAAATGATAAAAGAGTTAACCCACTATTCCTCCAACACTGAAAGGAAAAATATATCATAATAGAGGTTTATTGTCAAAATATATCTATTTATAAATATGACTTTTACCTAACATTGTGACGTTGTGACGCGAATTTTGTTAAATATAGTTGAGTTATGAACAATTTTGGCCGTTTCATTTGTAGTTGAGTATCATCATTGTTATGGTTATGATTCTATGGCAAATTATTTTTGTGGCAATGAATTTATTAAAATTTAATTAGGCAGACATATGCTTGATTTGGTATGCAGAGAGACAACATTATTTATTTGATTTAATATTATCAATCATTTGATTAACTTGAGCCTCGCAAAGTGGCAAAACGTGTCGGTTTTACACGTGCTAATTGAACTTTGATTATACAAGAGGGCCATGATGGCCCTGAGGTCGCTCACCTGTATATAGGCCCCCGGAGCGGGGCCAGTTTAAACCCCAGGGCTTTTATTTGAACAAACTTGGAACACCCATTAGTAGATGTTTCATGAGTTTCATAAGTTTTTACTACACACATATAATGAAAAACAATGACCTCCTTATTTCCCCCTCCCCCCACCGACAGGGCCAATTTTAACCCAAGGGTTTTTATTTGAACAAACTTGGTAGACACCCATAAGAAGATGTTTCATGCTAAACATCTAAGCTCTAGCTCATTGGGTTTTTTAAAAGAAGATTTTTTTAAGTTTTTACTATACACATATAGTTTAAAACAATGACACCCCTGGGGCAGGGCCAGTTTTGACCCCAGGGCTTTTATTTGAACAAAATTTGTAGACACTTACTTGAAGACGTTTCATGCTTAATATCTAAACTCTAGCTATTTGGGTTTTTTCAAAGAAGATTTTTAGTTTTTGCTTTACACATATAAGGAAAATCAATGACCCCCGGGGCGGGGCCAATTTTGACCCCAGGGCTTTTATTTGAACAAACTTTGTAGACACACACTAGAAGATGTTTCATGCTTAATATCTAAACCCTAGCTATTTGGGTTTTTCAAAGAAGAAATTTTTTTAAGTTTTTGATATACACATATAAGGAAAATCAATGACCCCTGGGGCATGGGCCAATTTTGACCCCAGGGCTTTTATTTGAACAAACTTGGTAGACACCCATTAGAACATGTTTCATGCTAAATATCTTAGCTCTAGCTCTTTGAGTTCTTTAAAAGAAGATTTTTTAAGTTTTTACTATATGCATATAGGGAAAATCAATGACCCCCTAGGGTGGGGCCAATTTTGACCTCAGGGCTTTTATTTGAACAAAATTGGTAGACACCCATAAGTTGTGTCATGCTAAACATCTAAGCTCTAGCTCATTGGGTTTTTTAAAAGAAAATCAATGACCCCTGGGGTGGGGCCAATTTTGACCCCAGGGCTTTTATTTGAACAAACTTGGTAGACACTCACTAGAAGATGTTTCATGCCAAATATCTAAGCTCTAGCTCTTTGGGTTTTTTTAAAAGAATATATTTAAAGTTTTTTCTTTCGGTTGCCATGTCAACCAGAGTTCTGCATTGAATTAAATTCTTTGAACAGTTTTTAAAGGTGACCACCAAAGGAACATTCCTGTGAAGTTTGGATGAAATTGGCTTAGTGGTTTATGAGGAGATGTCATTTAAAGTAAAAGTTTACGGACGGACGGACGGACGCCGGACGGACGGACGGACGCCGGACGAAAAGCGATCACAAAAGCTCACCCTGTCACTTTGTGACAGGTGAGCTAAAAAATGTAGTATCTCCTCACATGTCTTGATTTTCGCATATGTATTGCAGAACATTACTGTTGCAATGCCAATCGGCCCATCTCCCCTTACTGTCGTCTTTTCCGTTCAATGTACCACAGTTTTCATTTTGTTTAAAATTATCAGGTTGATGTGCAATCCAGTTTGAATATCCAGTTTCTGAAATGGGAGTTTTTGTCTCCATCCATACCCAGACGCCTTCTTCTTGTATATCACTGAGCGCTATCCAGTAGTTTTCTATTGATATGTTATTTAGCCAATTAAAGTAATCATATACTAAAGACTCGATCGCCGCTGTGCTATACTAAATTACTTAAATTGTCTGATTTACCATTCATTACTCTTTGACAATTATTACTGTTCAAAGAAAGTTATAAGCCCTATCTATGTATAAAATTAACTTACCAAAAGATACAAAACAGCTGATTCCTCTTATAAAAAAATAATTATACATCTACTTATGTAAAAATGTAATAGCCTCATAAAAACAAATAATCAATAATATTTTCATTCAAAACGATAATTTGTATCATAACACGGTCATCAAATTAACCTAATTAGCTATGTTAGTATAATTAATACGATTTGAAATTATGATAACATTCGCTATAAAGAAAGGGACGACAAAAAAGATATAAATTTCACTAACCATTAAACCTCATCGCCATAGAAGCAAGAAACGCGTTCTCTGCAGCTGTCTCAATCTCTACTAATTTTCCTCCTAAAATGTGACACATATTCTGAAATGGAAACGCAGAAAAACATTATATGATAATTCAACATAAATTCATCATAATTAAATATTGGGTGTAATATTACAAAGGGGTTTGTAGCTGTACCAGAACTCTATATTAGGGTCAGTTATGACGAAAATTAGGTCCAGACCGAAAAAACATGTGACAACCCTTATATATAGACAAGGGTTCCAACTCCAAATAAACACATTTTTCGCCATTAGCTTAATGAGAAGCTAATTCCTTCTCCATTTTTCAAGCAAATTATATATTTTTATGTGTACATGTAGCATTCTCATTGTACTTTCAAGAAATGATAGCAACTTGTCCCTTTAACCATGCATATAAAAACATGTCGGACACAAACCTAACCGAAAACGACTTTTTTTGCTTAGTCCACCTAGAAGTCGCAACATTATAAACAACGTGGTTTATCCCGTAAAAAAATTTACAATAATGAATACGGGAAGCAAAGGCTTGAATTCAATAAAAAAGACTATTTTGCAAAACATAAATTTATGATTACCTGTAATTGTTTCGACAGTCAACCACGCAATCGGTTGTTTTCTTTCACTTGCTATTTTTCTCCGAGAACAGCCATTCGCCTGTCACCAGCATCTGATGCATTGACCAATCAGAACTCCCGTAGTATAATATTTCTATCCTAAACGTGACAAGCGAATGGCCGTTCTCGAAGAAAAAAGGGCAAGTGAAAGAAAAAACCGATTACGGTGTTTGGGTCTGGACCTAGTTTGGGGTCACAACTGACCCTTATATAGAGTCCTGGAACCGTTACAACCCCCTTTGTAATATTATGAACGAATGCAGACTGCTTCATAAACGATTGTATATATGGAGGCTGCACAGTCGAGCGTATAAAGGTTCGTTCCTGTTTTAAGCGACGTGACATAGGGCGAGATACGATACGGAATAATGGAAAATAACGTGAGTTCGAGCTAGTTTGTTTAAAATATTTGTTGTATGTTGTATTTTGTTGTGTTCGAAAAAGATAGTCATGCGCAGCAAAGATATAATGGTGTATAATGATCAAAAAAGAAGAATATATTACCTAGTAAGGAAAACGTTATGAATGCCAGATGCAATTTGACATACTTTTAAATAGATGTATTGAAACAGATACTTGTTCAGTTATGTCATTAACGTGTTTACTATTAATATTTATAATAAATATTTAGAAACATTGATGAAATAAATGCATATTTTCATTTTCGTATTTTCAATGTGAAATTTTAATTTTCACAACAGCGAAACATATTTTCTGTATTTTCAATAGTGTCTTGCGGAAGTACTTTCTCCTACATTCTACTAATACACACATTTTAATAGGAGGGGTCTTTAAAATTGTAATGTCGAAAAGGAGAAAAAATATGTATAATAAACTGAAAATTCAAGCCTTTTTTAAAACTAAAGAGGATCATCAAACAACCATTCATACATAGTTTCATCAAAATCAACCCAATAGTTAAGGGGGATAAGTTGTTTAAAGAATTTTCAGATATAAGTTCTGATAGCCTTATGGTTTAGCAGACGAGAATAATAATTTGAATTATTATTATAGACGATCATCCAAGGACCATTCATTTTTATTTTCATCAAAATCTACCCAATAGTTTTCCTGTAATAAAGAAAGACAAAGGAACTTTGAATAATAACTGAAAAAGTCATATAATAAAATAGTTATTGCATAATTACTTATTTGAATTTCCAAATCTATTGACCTTTCTTATGTGAAATTTACCTCATTATCATATAATAATTATAAAACATACCACAGCACTTGACCAATCCTCCTGGTCGTGACTAAAGTGATAACATGAATTACCATGATGCATCCATCCGTTTGGACAAGACGCATCTAAAATAAATATATATAATTATGGTCATGTACAACTTGTCAATTTAGTGTATGTCCCTGAAACATCTAAAATAACAATGAAGTAATATTTGTTTCATTGGGAACCATACTATTTACGTTAACCATTCTCCTTTTTACTTATTTGATAGCTTTATTTCATTTTATAAAGTAATTACTGTAATTTACATTACATTTTTGAGTGTTTTTAAAATATTTGGAGGGGCCAAATATTTGTCTTTTGTTGTAGATCACCATCTTCTCTTACGTTCTCCTCGAACAAGAAACTAAAGAATTCTATGGGGTTTTTTAAAAAAAGAAAGAAAAAAACATTGATATATACTGCGTTTCTTTGATATTTGATAACTTGAATGTAAAACACAAAAGAGACTTACCCGAATACCAGAATAAAGGACATATAACCAATAAGGTAATAACGTTCCACATATCTGAGGCGGTAATTATTGTAAAATACACATTATCTACTTTGTTCTTATCAATTGTACTATTTTGTCAGTGTCCCAGTTGTCAAAACCACGATAACACGTAACTACATGTATTTTATGACAAACCTCGTAAAAGGGACACATCATTCTTATACTGTGTAAGTTTTAAACATGACACGCATACTTTTTTAACCTTTTGGTTTCTTCTGGCAAGGTTTGTTTGACGTTAATGAAAAACATCATACTTGCTTATGAGAATTTATGTTACCACTCATTTTAGTTCACAGTAGATTTATGTTCATTTAGTATAAGTTCTTTCATCTTTAAAGCATATCAACTTCTAACTTATAAAGGCCCATTATGATGCTTCATAAATGTTTTTATTTTTATTTCTCAAAAGTTTTTTAAAATTTATTTTGGATGTACGTTTCTTTCCAAAATGCTATTCAATGGCCAATTACTTGGTCAGTTATTTCATTTTCTTCTGTTGCTTTTGTCAATCAGTACAGTTAGAGTGATTAAGTACGTAAGTCAAAATAGTGAAACTACATCTTTGTTAACATTTTACTATTGTTATGTCAAATAATTTCACGTTAAGCGCTTTATTAAGCAATCCGTGCAGGTCAGTTTTCACATTTGTGCTGTCCGATCGTGCATGTGCTGTTTTATTAAGTTATCGCTGTAAATGATGAATGGCTTTGTCTAGACTGAAAGATAATAATGGTAATGATAAAAGCTAATTTATATAAGAAATATTACCAATGGCATTGGTGACATTTAATATAAGTGAATGAGTGAAATAAAGACTAAGCATTTGTTTCTCGGTATTGTAACTGAAGACAAGTAACATGTTATATATCATTCACTCACCCATTCTCTCACTCATTTATCCACTCACTACGTCAATCAATCGATCTATCGATCGATCAATCATTCAATCAATCAACAAATCAATCAATTAATTGCTCTATCACACACACTTGTGCATGCGCACGCGGTCGCCTACGGCCTTCGTGGTCAATTCCTACGCATCAAAACTCCAAACCGGTGTTAAATAGCCGATATACATTTCTCAGGCCGATGTTAGTTCTTAATTATATTTTTCTTCAAGTGTTTTCCGCGTATAAATATTTAACAACGTTAGCTTCATTTTAACTTTGACTTTCAACAGCAAGGAAGGAAAAGGTGAGTATGTTATATTATTACTTAATGTGTAGATTATATACAAGATATTTGTTAGTTTTTTTTTTTAAAGTTACCTTAAAAAAGAAGAAAAAAGAACTAAAAAACTGAAAATGTTTTATTTAGTTTTTAGCGCTGGTGAATTTAGAATTCGTATAAGATATGGTTCACATTCTTTATAAACAAGCACATTTGTATTTTGTGGAAATATAATTGTTATTAATGAAAATCATTAATCTCTGAATGATATTTTATTATTGAAAAGATATTATTTTTGTTTATCGCTAGATTATGCCAATCACACTGTTTTCCAAAACTTTATTTTATCTTGTTGGTTTCCAGCGAAAATGATGACGTCATCAAATGTGCACGTTGTATTGCTTGCCACGGCAACGCTTGTAAGTTTTGCTTGTGCTGTAGAGAATTCCACCCAAAAGCAGATAGGTGTTTTAAAAAACACATATTTCAACCATGTGTCCATTTTCTACACTGAAGTTTGAAAAATATCTTTTACTTAACCATTTGTTGCTGTTAACTTTTCAATTATTTGTTGTTTTTGATCTTTAAAATATTTGTTCGATGTAAGTGTTATGTGAAAACTAAACAATATTTTTACAATAAATATAACGAACAACCAAGTAGGGATTCTTTATCTATTTACTGACTCAAACGTCTAAGGCCGCTCAAGGAAAATTATGTTACGGTTATGAGGTCCAATCCTTTATTGCAAGGTCTATAAACTCAGTTCAAAATCTTGCCATCGAGGTTAATATGTTTTGCCCAACAAATGTAACTCCACAAAAGTTGGAAGCAAAGTTTACGACGTTCGTATGTATCACATCACATATGTTCTAGAACATGGATTGTTGATAACGTTATCTTAAATTCGATAAAAACCAACATTAGCCGTTCTAAAATAACACCCAACGCAACACATAAGTCTCAAAAGGCGTAGTTAATGTTGCTGATATGCTGAAGGAATTGAAAAAGTTTACATTTGTTTCTTGTCTTTCTTGAAGGGATTTAGCGATAGCCTCACGAAAACACAAGACAGACTCGAAAAGTTTAATCCTTTTGACCGTTTCAAAAAATGGCCTTTCCGTAACTTTCGCAATGAGGATGGAGGCGGAGGTGATTTTCATTACCACAAAGTTAAAGGAGATGGGACGGTTCGTAACTATCGCGTGGAGGACGGAGGTCTAGGGGACAGATACTATCACGAGGTCGACGCAGATGGGAACGTTCGTAACTACCATGTCGAAGACGGAGGTCAGGGTGACCGAATGTACCACGAATTCGAGGCAGATGGGAACGTTAGAAACTACAATGTCGAAGACGGAGGTCAGGGTGACATGACTTTTCATGAAGTCGACGAATATGGTAACGTTCGTAACTACTATGTTGAAGACGGAGGTGAAGGTGACAGATGCTACCACGAAGTCGAAGGTGACGGGAGTCCATTTCGTGGTAATTATTATTACAACTATGTACATGGAGGTAGACACCGTTTCTTTCACAGCGAGAGCAGCTCCTCCGAGTCTATGGATTGGGATGATTTTCTTTTCGACTTGTAAGCAATTTGTTCACTGTGGGGTATTTTGGCGTCGTTGTGGCCTTTTTTATTCTGATATTTGCACGGTTGCATTTCTGTTAACTAGTCGGATCTTTTATTACATTTGTTTTTACATTTACATATCCTGATATCGGGTATCGAAATTAAACTCATCGCCATAAATTCACTGGCAAAAGTATTAAAAAACCCTACCATTTGAGAAATATATTCAACAATATTCATCAAGAAATTCGATTTAATTTCGCATTACCATAAAATGTATAGTCTTAAATCATAACATAATGACAATATTTATTTTTTTATCAGGTTCCCTTTCATAAATAGAATGCTTGATTCTTATTGAACATAATGAATTAGTAACATATTCATGTATATATAACTTGACCTAGTTAAAAAGCATTGCACTGAGTTACAATCTGTATTATGTCATTAACATCGCGGTTTCACAATATGCTGTAATGTTTGACCATCACACGATTGAATCACAGTCTGTCACCTTTCAGGATCACACCATAGTATTTTCGCATCATTGTGATTTCATCTTCGCACGGTCGCACATAGTGTTTCGCTATAGCACGATCGCACCTAAGTATTTCACCATTGCATGGTGCCATCATTGTTTTTCACCATCGCATGTTGCCATCATAGTATTTCACCATCGCATGAAGGCTCACAGTGTTTTACCATCGCATGGACGCACCTTAGTATTTCACTATCGCATGACCGCATCATAGTGTTTCACTATTGCACGACCTTATAGTGTTTCATTATCGCACAACCGCATGATAGTGTTTCACTATCTCACGACCGCATCATAATGTTTCATGATCACATCAAATTGTTTCCCCATCGTACGATGGCGTTTCGCTAACATGCAATCGTGTTTTGACCATCGCTTTCATTATCTTGTACTCCTACTATTGTGTTTCCATTATCGCAGCATTTTGAATCGTGAGTTAGGTAAATTTAAGCAAAATAAAAAGCCACGATTTATATCGTAACAGAACTCCATACTAGCTTCGCCCCATCCTATTCTGAATACATATTTGTATAGAGAAGTTTTTGTAAATTGTACGAGTAAGCTTTCGATAAACATTATGCTAATCCTACTTTCAGATTTGATTCATTGTTCTGAAATCGAGCATACTGGAGAAACGAAAGCGGCAGAAAAACTATTCAGTCTACTTGTAGAAACTGTTATTCTGATTAAAAAATTAAAGACACTTCATTATGAATTTTTTCCCTTTTTTGTTATTCTATTGGTTTATACGATCGGAGGAGTAAACAACTGGTCAATATCGCCACACTTAAATTATTTGAAAATATGAGCTGTCGTCCCTTTGTCATCAACCAAGCACCGACTTAGCAATATTTGAATTTCACTATATAATTAAGTATTAGAAAAAGATATAACAAAATCTAAAATGCGTCCGTACCAAACATGACATATAGTCTAAATCGTGCTAAATTGAGACATGTATATAGTTACATGTACATTCATTTTCTTTTAGAAATATTTACTTCAGAAATAACTTATTATCTTTCATTAAGAAAAAAATCTGCAAACACAGTTATCCCTCGGAAACTTTAATCACAACAAAATTACATGAAAATTGCAGACTCGAGCGGTACTCAATTCTCAACACTTAATAGTGATAGCAGCAATGATCCCGAAGGAAGAAGTCGCAATGTCATCTCTTGTTCGATCGTTAGATAAATCTTTATAAGAATATATAGTCATCAGACAACTTTGATGGTGCTCATAGGTCTCTTGTTCAGTTGTCATTAAATACATTCATAAGACAAAATTACTATGGAATGAAATAATTTGAAATAGGGCATTGCACTAGCAATGAAAATTCATATGCAAAACAAATCTTTTTAAACAAACACAAAATTACCATGCAGGCGTTATCATTTAAAACATGTCTATAAACATAATAAGAAAAGGGCACGTTAGCTTAACTGTTTACCACGCTAAATATCTTAAACCGATTTTTCAGTTCATTATTTTATGTGTATGTATTTGAGTTTATCTGTGATCCAGAAGAGTATAAGTCATTTTATATTTTGGAGGATAGTGTAATATACAGATACAGATATATGCCCCGATTCCAGAAGCTTCTCCTGGTCCTTTAACGTGCAGAGTGTTAACGCACTAATACACGGGACCTCGATTTAAAGTCTCATTAGAAAGACTGATTAGTAATTTTAGTTGGCCAGCCCGGGAATCGAACCCACAATGTCGAGATTACAAGTATTGCACTATAACCGACTGATTTATACGGGCAGCGGTTTAAGTGAACTTTTCAAAAATATTTATCAACTGATAAGCGAACATTGAAGACCATATGACACGTGCGGATAGATTCCATTTTCACCAGCAGGTTGAAGGTTTATTAACACTATCAAAGTCGTTTAAAATAATGGACATTTTCTAGCTAATGTCTAAACTTGAAAAACAATTGAGGCAATGATTTATTATTAAAGTTCTTTTTGTACATGTTGAAAACTTGCGACGTTTCAGAATCTTAGAAAGAGTTTAACCATACTACTTTACTAGGAAATCCCTTATTTTTTTTTTCATTGGTTTATTTCAGTTCGTACTATAAAGTTTGATATCATGACTTAAACGTAAGATGGTTCAGGAAAACTTAGATTAGTGTTTCCTGTTCTGTATTTATTTTTATTTGTTGAAGTATTTCCTAGTAAAAAACATTATACTTTTAAAATTATGATTCATAATTATATTCATAATATTCATACATGAATAGGACAAGTTTGTTAAATTAACAAGGAAAAGGGTCATTTAATTGGTAGCAATAATCAAAACATACAATCTTGTCATATACAAAAATAATCTTATAAACACTGTTTTGTAACAAAAAGTCATATTTCAACGTTTATATAAAGACATGTATAAACGCTGAAATGCGATTTTTTTAAACAGCGTATATTATAAGTTTATATATGTGATAAATTAATGTGCTTGGACTGACAAAATGTTAGAAACAATTCATTTGGATTTTTCTACGTTTGAAGCTCAGCAAAGTAAATGTTTGTGGTCCTGATCAAGACTGAAACAATAGTTGCTGACCATGAAGTGGTTCAAGCCCACTTCCGCTATGTTATACATCAAAATCACAAACCGACCTCTGTTTAAACCTCTTAATAATCAATCTTTGAATAAACGCTTTATGTTTAAAGTGATTGGTTTCCTTACATTATAAAATACATTTATTTCATGCTTTCCAGTGTTTTATTGTGATATATCAGATGATTATATTCTGATAAACCACTAGTTTCACTGTATCCGGACTATATCTGAATGCGGATGAAAAAAAAATTAAACTAAATGGAATAACAGGCAGAAATAAATGCCGTCATACGTAAATTTTGCTTCTTTAGGAAAAACGAGCCGATGTCACCATACATCATGTTAAACATGTAACAAAATTAGAGAAATTTAACAGAACTATATTTCAAAATTGATGATGTGACGTCATAATGTGATGACGTCACAAAGGAGAATGCGCGACGTTACGCGGCAAAATCAGTAAAAAATACTTAAAATCACTTAAAAAGCATGAAATAAAAAGAAAATTTATTTGCTTTACATATAAGATTGAAATATATATTTCATTCGTGAACACCAGCTATTATATAAAATATTGCATCTGGTGTTCACTCAGTGAAATTATATTTCAATCTTACATGCAAAACAAACAAATATCCTTTATGTAATATAAATTATTTCTAATTTTTTTTTCATCACATATGCTTATTATATCCTTAGATATTATATCTTCGACCGTTTCCGTAAAAGTCTTAAACAATATGTTGCTTGCTTTAGGTTGCCAACTTCACGCACAAACTATTATCATGAATGTGTATATAGCAAGCAATCTGAACCCTCGTCAGGCATAATATCTTAAATTGATTCATCCATCTAGTGATATGGACAAAGCCATTCAGTTTTCGTAGCGAAACTTTCATATTAAGTACTGACTGAATAGAGAACGATGCAGACTAGGATTTGTCGTCTGATCTTGGTCTGTAATGGTTGCATGGGGAGATTCAGCCAGCAAGTTAAGGTTTAAATACGTGTTTTATATGCTATGCTTTCTTTCTTTTTGTGTGTCTATTGTACTTGCCCATAGATAAGACATACAATCGTTACATTTTGATTTGACTCTAGAAGGACAAAGACAATATATAATTTATAAGATGTTTATTTCAGTTGCTTTGACACAAAGTCATACAAATGATAAAAGGGTTAACCCACAAATACTCCATCACTGAAAGGAAAAAGTATATCACAATAGAGGTTTGTGGTGGACTTTCTTTAGGGATTCTTATTTTTATCTATTTATAAATATGACTTTTACCTAACATTTTGACGTTCGTCAGGTTTTCCCCCGAATTTTGTTAAATATAGGTGAGTTATGAACAATTTTGGCCGTTTCATTTGTAGTTGAGTAAGACAATTGTATTAACAGTTTAATGGTCATAATTCTTATGGTAAATTATTTTTGTGGCAATGAAAATATTAAAAATTTAAGTAGGCAGGCACCGTCACATTCCATATCATATTTTTGATTTAGTACGCCGAAAGACAATTTTTTTCTTTTATCTAATATCATCAATCATTTGATAAACTTGAGCCTCGTGAAGTGGCAAACGTGTCGGTTTTACACGTATTAATTGAACTTTGAATATGAAACAAATGTAGTATCGCCTCACGTGTCTTGTTTTTCGCATATGTATTGCAGAGTATCACTGCTACAATGCCAATCATTCCAGTGTCCATCATAGTTTATTCCAATCAATGTACCACAGTTTTCATTATTTTTCACATTATCAGGCGCACCTGGCATCCAGTTTGAATATCCAGTTTGTGACATTGGAGTATTGGTCTCCATCCATACCCAGACCCCTTCTTCTTGTATATCACTAAGAGCTATCCAGTAATTTTCTATGGATATGTAATTTAGCCAATTGAAGTAATTATACAATACAGACTCGATTGCCACTATGCTATACTTAATGGCTATTATTGACTTATTTTGTAATTGAATAAATTCCATTCGCAGTTATTAGATATCTTACCCTTTGACAATTATTAGTGTTCAAACTTATCTAAAGCAGCTGAACACCCTGATAAAAGCCATTATACATGTACTAATATGAAAAATGAAATATCCTATTCAATACAAATAATCATTCTTTTCTTTCAAAAATATAATTTGTGTGACAACACGGCCATCATATTAACATAATGAGCTATGTCAGTATGATTAATTATGTACGTCTTTGTTGAAAAAATGATAAAAAATATGACCGAATATATATTCATTTCTTTTACCATTAAAGTTTATCGCCATAGACGCAAGGAAAGCGTTCTCTGCAGCTGTCTCGATTTCTACTAATGTTCCTCCTAAAATGTGACACATATTCTGAAATGGAAACGTAGACTTTACTAAATAAACGCGATATTAAAGCTTGATACATGTCTAATATTTGTTGGCCCCATCCCATAGCAATCCTTTTTTTCAGATTGTTTTTGCCGACATGATCACTACAAACGTCACAATTAATATATATTGACTGTTCGAGACAAAAAATTACAATCATTTACCAAAAGTTACCCAACATCTTATAAATATTTTATTACACTTTTTGTCGGAGATGCTCTTGACCTAATTTTCAGTAAAGTGAAACCACCTTCCATACCCAAATGAGTGATAAGTGATAACATACCATAGCGCTTGACCAGTCCTCCAGGTCGTGACTAAAATGATAACATGCATTATTGTGACGCATCCATCCGCTTGGACAAGACGCATCTAAATGAATTAATACAATTACATGTCTGTTGTTGTTATTATATTTATCTTATGTACGATTTTGCATATTTAATTAAGTATGCCCTTAAAAGTGTTTTTAATTAATACTTAAGTAATATTTGTTTTCTTGCGAACCATTGTTAATGTTCGCTACTTGAGTATATTATTCCGTATTAGGTTAGGTGAGATTTTGTGATGGCAGTGTGTCTGTCGTCTGTAATTTGTCGTAATCCATAATAACTTAAAAGGACAGCTCCTCCTTAACCACTTGGTAGATTTATCTCTAACTTCACAGGAATAGTTTTTAGATGGTCATCTAAAAATAAATGGTTCAAGTCTGAATTTAAATATAGACTTCAAGATGAAATAATTGAAAATATTCTCCTCAAAAACTACAATTCCCGGAACGTATATACATGACATGTAGCATCAATTTGTGGTCATGTAAATCATGAGGTTCACCCCGGCAAGAATTATTCCCAACCCGTTGTAGTCTAGACAATGTGTTTTTAAATTTTTTAAAGTTCTCCAGTTCTAGTAGTTCCTAGCGAACATCTACACACGTTTTAAAAATCATGCAGCTTGGGTAAAGATGACAACCAAATGTGACATATTTACTGCCGTTTGCATTGGATAATTGTAACCTTTTGTAACTATGTATCTCAGATGAGCGATTATTGCCCTCTTGTTTGCTTACTTGATAAGTTTACCCTTTTTAAATAAAGTATCTTTTTAAATAAAGTAATATCTTTAATTTAGAAAATTAGATTAATATGGGAGGGAATGGTCATTTGTTTTGTCTTTAAATAGGTAACCAATCCCTTACGTTCTAAACGAGCAAAATATGCTTTGTTATTCTAAACAAAGTTTCATTGTTTCCGTACCTTGTTTTTTATGCAAAGAAAAAAATCAAACAGACTTACCTAAACTCCAGAATAAAGAACATATAACCAATAAGATTTGAACTTTCCACATCGTGCATATATCTGAAGCGGCAATTATTTATTATGAAAATTGTCCGGTTAGTTCTTATCTATCAATTTTGTCCTACATGTGCATGTACATGACCAAGATAACGCTAGCGTTATAAAGTCACAATTCAGCAAAAAAAGTCATTCCATTTTTGATAAAAAGTACTGTATAGTTATTCTTTTGATCTTCTGGCGTCCTCTCACTTTTTGGATATATTTAGAAAAACAGATATGTAAATTGTTTACATGAATTAAAATATTCACATTCATTCCAAGCAACAGTCTGTTGTTCGTATACGTAAATATTTGAAGTAACTTCACTCGTCTTTAAAGACATTAAGATGCATGCAGGCGCTTGGTGCAATGTATATGCGGAGAGCACATTCATCGTACAACCTTCACTGCATACGCACTTAACCTCAAGCCAGCATCTGAATCTACCAGTCATATCAGTGCAGACCAAGATTATCCGCCACCTCCATGCCATCTGATCATGTCTGCAATGTTTACTATTCAGTCAGTACTTAATATTTATACTTTTCGCTAAAAAAGTGATGAATGGTTTTGTCCAGACACACACACTCACTAAATTAATCACTCAATCAATATATCACCCTCTCTCTCACACACACACACATACACACACCCAAACGCAAGCACACACGCGCGCGCGCACACACACACACACACGCACACGCACACACACACACACACACGTACTTACGCGTTATAATAAGCACACACACAAGCCGCGAATGCGCACACCCACATACTCATTTATCTCTCAATGGCGACTTAGTCACCACTTTTGGCGTATAGTGGATATTGTGTATGTGCGTCCGTCCATACGGATTTGTTGTGTCTATATCTTGCTCATTCTTCAAAGGATTACAAAATAATTTGGTACAAATATTCATCATAATAGGTGCTGTGTTGAATAAAAAACACAGGTTCGTCGCTCAAAGGTCAAAGTCACAGTTGGGGTTAAGGGCAAAACCCCTGTCCGAAAGGTAACTTCTGCATGCATGGAGGGATTTTAATATAGCCCGGTACAAATATCTCCATAGTGAGGCAGAGTGTCGCATAAAGAATTCAGGTGTCTGTGTCAAAGATTAGGGTCACACTTAGGGGTAAAAAGTCAAATAACAAAATCAAACATTCATTTGCGAGTGTAACTTCTTTATACATGGATGGATTTAGATATAACTTTACACAAATGCTCGCGCAAAACCCGTGTTATAAGCATAACATCTACTTGCGTGGTGGGACTGAAATATATAATTATAACTAGGGTCAAATGTTCTCTACAGTAAAGCAAAGTGTCACTCGAAAAATCTAGGTGTCTGTGGCAAAGGTCAAGGTCTTACTTCAAGGATAAAGGTCATCAAGTTTAAGATTTACTTGTGAGTATCACTTCTAGATACATGAAATGACTTTAATATAACTTAGAAAAAATGTTATCCATGGTGAGTTAAGTGGTCTTGCGGAAAATTAAGGTCAAGGTAACAAGAGGTCAAAGGTCAAATAAAACGAACAAAATTTGTTTGTCGGCACTGTATCTTGCTTATACTTTGAAGTATACAGCTAAGGTGTCAGAGGATTTTTGTCGAGCCCGCTTGCGATGTGACATTATTGTCAAAATGGCTATTTAGTATTTGTGTGTGCGTGGGTGCGTCCAAACTTGTCCATGCCATAACTGATACGTGCATGGAGGAATTTTTAAATAACATGAATTGAGTTTTCTAGACACAAATGTTCATCATGAGACTTCGTGTCATGCACATGAACTAGGTCGCCGGGTCAGTGGTCAAGGTCATCTTAGATAATGCAATGTCAAGATTTTGCCTTGGGAATAAAGAGGAAGTGTTTCGCACATCTAACCTATGTATACATCTCTTTTCTTGAAGCTTATATGTTCAGGTTCAATTAAGTCGAACGGACTCGAGATTCAGCCTGTGGGCATGTGACATGTCTTGCACTTTACAATCGACCCTTTGACGTATTCCTGAAATCAAGTATATTTAACTACAGATGAACATATCCAATTTATTATTTAAGTGTTTTTAGTAATAAGGAAGATATAAAAGTGCAGTAACAGTACTGACATTTTGATCTGTTAAGATTGCACTTTAAATAAAGTGTTCTTGGTAACTGGGCAAACGTAACCTTTTTTAGCTCATCGGAGCTCTTCGAAAAGTAATTGCGTCCATCAATCACAAGGAGCATGTTGTATGTGAGATATTTACATCGAGACCATGTTTTCAGCGCAATGATAACTATATTGTCCAATTTTCCTGATAGCTGTTTTGACAAAAAATAAAATATGTATGTCGCCTACGACAATCATTAAGAAAACCAAGTCAAATCATCCGACTCAAAGTAAGAACATAATTCCACAGAATGCGCACCATATTACTTTTAATATCCAATTTCATGACGTCGATTATAACTGACGTCTGTATATGATAATTGCTTTGTGTATAAAACAATTTTCAAATTATTATAGAAGTAACAAAACTTGACCCTTTGTATAAATCAGTTAATATACTTTCCCCGTAGTAGGGTACTGCAAGTTAAGAATAATCAGTTCTAAGGAACACTTGGTTGAACTGTTCAGTTTAAAAACAATAGTATGCAAGAGACAGTCACAAACTAGATCAAACAACAGCAATAAGAACCTAAAGGTAATAGCTTTCTATTTATCTCCAAGATTAATTCGATATTTGGTTTAAAAATGATTAAAAACGAAATAAAATAAATAAAAATAATTGTTATAAAAGCAAATACAAACAAAATTATAAAAAACGAAAAGAAAAACATCACCTGGTTAGGGTCTTAGGTCTTAGTCTTAGGGTGAGCGTCCCCGTGTCATTATTCACTTCTTGTTGTTTGTTTTGTTTTGGTTTCATTCCAAGAAGAAATATTGCATCATACTTTTCTTCAAGTGTTTTCCCTGTATAAATAGTTTACAACGTTAGCTTCATTTTAACTTTGCTTTTCAACAGCAAGGAAGGAAAAGGTGAGTATTTAATATTTTTAATGATTGTGTAGATTATATACGAGATATTTGTTAGTTTTGTAAAAGTTACCTTAAAAAGAAGAAAAAAGAAATTGAAAAAAATGAAAATGTTTAATATAGTTTTCTAGCGCTAGTGAATCTAGAAATCATAAGCGATATACATGTATTTCACATTCGTGATCTACAAGCACACTTTCATTTTTAGAAAATAATTGTTATTTAATGTAAATCATAAATCTCTGAATGATATTTTATTATTGATTAAGTTATTATTTTTACATTATCACTAGATTATGTATATATCCCAATTTTCCATTAATCTTATCCTGTTGATTTCCAGCGAGAAAGATGGCGTCATCAAATGTGCTTGTTATGTTGCTTGCCATGGCAACGCTTGTGAATTTTACTTGTGCTGTAGAGAATTCAACCCAAAAACAGGTAGGTGTTTTAAAAAATGTTTCAACCATGAGTTCTTTTTCTTCACTGAAGTTTGGAGAATATCTTTTACTTTTACCATTTGTTGCTTTTAATTTCAAATATTTGTTATTTTTTATGTTTAAAATATTTGTTTGATGTTGGTGTAATTTGAAAACTAAATAATATTTTTGCAATAAATACGAACAACTAACAGACAAGTAACACTTCTGTATCTATCTACTGACATAACTATATCTTTTAACGGCTTAAGCCGATCATGAAAAATTATGTAACGCGTACGAGTGTTCCAACCCATCTTTGCAAGGTCTTTAATCTCAGTTCAAGTTCTGGCCACCGAAGTACATATGTTTGCCCAACAAATGTCTCTTTTCAAAAGTTAGAAGCAAAATTTTCAAACTTCGTATGTATAACATTACATATGTTCTAGAAAACTGATTGTAATAACGTTTACATGAATTCGGTAAAAACCAACATCAGCCGATCTAAAATAACACCCAATACCATACAAAGGTCTCAAAAAGCGTCAATGGTGTTGCTGGTGTTACAACGGTTAATGTTGAAGAAATTGCTAAAGTTTAGATTTGTTTCTTATCTTTCTTAAAGGGAATCACCGACAGTCTCACGAAAACACAAGACAGACTCGAAAAGTTTAATCCTTTTGACCGTTTCAAAAAATGGCCTTTCCGTAACTTTCACAATGAGGATGGAGGCGGAGGTGATTTTCATTACCACAAAGTTAAAGGAGATGGGACGGTTCGTAACTATCGCGTTGAGGACGGAGGTCTTGGGGACAGATTCTACCACGAAGTAGATGGAGATGGGAACATTCGAAACTATGGTGTTGAGGACGGAGGTGAAGGTGACATATATTACCACGAAATCGATGAAGATGGGACTGTTCGTAACTACCATGTCGAAGACGGAGGTCAGGGTGACAGAGTGTACCAAGAAGTCGACGCAGATGGGAACGTTAGAAACTACAAGGTCGAAGACGGAGGCCAGGGTGACATGACATTTCATGAAGTCGACGAATATGGGAACGTTCGTAACTACCATGTTGAAGACGGAGGTGAAGGTGACAGGTACTACCACGAAGTCGAAGGTGACGGGAGTCCATTTCGTAGAAATTATTATTACAACAATGTACATGGAGGTAGAAACCGTTTCTATGACAGTGAAAGCAGCTCCTCCGAGTCTATGGATTGGGATGATTTTCTATTCGACTTGTAAGCAAATTATTTACTGAGGGGTTACCTTTATCGCGTCGTTGTGATCTTTTTGATTTTGATATGTGTACAAGTTGCATTTCTGTAGAATAGTCAGATCTTATATAACATTTGTTTTTATATTTGCATATCCTGACATCTGATTAAGGAATTAAAACTGTCGCCAAAAGTATAAAAAAAATCTTACAATTTGAGCAATATATTCCACAATATTCATCAAGAAATTCGATTTGGTTATTTTGCACTACCATCAGTAGAATAGCCTTAAATATTAAAATAACAACTATAATAATTTATTAACGGGTTCATTTCCATGTATAGAATGCCAATTTTCTTATTGAACTTAATTTATAAGTGGCATATGCACGTATATGACTTGAATTGTTTAAAACCTTTTGCATTGTTTGACAATCTGTATTATGTCATCAACATCGCGATTCCACAATTATGCTGTCATGTTTCAGCATTACAGGATTGAACCAAAGTGTTTCACTTTCGCAGGGTGCCATCATAGTATTTCACCATCGAATGTTGCCATCATAGTGTTTCACTATCACACGATCGCATCATAGTATTTCACGATCGCATCAAATCACGATTGCATCATAGCGTTCCACTATCGCAGGATCGCATCATAGTATATCACTATCATGCAATCGTGTTTTAATCCTTGTTCCGAAGTGTTTTCATCATCGTGTTATCCTGCTATTGTGTTTCCATCATCGCAGCATTTTGAATCGTGTGTTATGCAAATTAAAAAAGCAACGATTGTCGTAACAGAACACTGTACTCGCTACGCTCCATCCTTTTCTTATAAGTGTATAACGATAACATTATTTGTGGTAAATTGTAAGCTTTTGATAACCATTATGCTTTTCTTACTTTCAGATTTGATTCATTATTCTAAAATCGAGCATTTCGGAGTGAAGAAAGCCAGGAAGATTATTCAGTTTGCTTGTAGAAACTTTTATTCTGATTAAAAAGTTAAATACACTCTTATAATTCTTTTATTGTTATTCAAGTAGTTTATACCATCAGAGTTATGATCGGAGCAGTAAACAAATGGTTAATGTCGCCACACTTCAATCATTCGAAAGTATACTCTTTCCTCTGCCTCAACCAAGCACCGATTTGGCACTATTTGAAATTCTTTATAATTAAGGATTTTGAACATTGATGACAATACTGACAATCTAAAATGCATTTTTACCAAACAAGACATAAATCGTGCTAAATTAAGACATATAGTTACATTCATTTTTTTAATATTATCTTTAGATAAAACTTATTATCTTTCATTAAAAAGTCGCAATGTCATCTCTTGTTCGATCATTAGATATATAAATAAGACAGAGTGGCATTTATAGGCTTCCATACTTTATCCTTTATAATAATAGATTGACAATTATATAATTTATTTGGATTTCAAGTCGTTCGGAGTTCTACTACACCCCAAGTGTCTATAGTCCTGACCAGACAGAAGACTACAAAGTGGTATACATTAGTTTCAATCTTTTACCATAATCGAGATGAAATATACAGTTTTAAAGCAAAAACATGAATAATTTCTGACTACATGACAAGCTTTTATCCATGATGGTTATTTCCTTTGAGCATCGCTCTGAGTTGTAGTGGGATGAGGGAAAGAAAAGTGTACATCCTTAAATAGCGTTAGCTTAACTCTTACCACGCTTAATTTTCAATACATTCTTTTTATGTGTATGTATTTGAGTATATCTATGATCCCCACCGATTGTCCAGATATGCGAGTCCTTCAAAAGAGTATTAGTAATTTTATATTACAATTATATAGTACAAGATACAGATACAGGAAGATGCCAAAATTCCAGAAGCTTTCTCTGGTTCTTTAGCGTGCCAAGTGTTAAAGCACTTATACAAAGGGGCTCGATTTTAAGTCTCATCCGAAAGACTGATTAGTTACTTTTAGTTGGTTGGTCAGTCCGGGAATCGAACGCTCAATGTTGAAATTACATGCCTCGCACTCTAACCGTGTGAGCTATGCGGGCAGAATTTTTAGTGAAACTTTCAAAAATAAGTATTAACTGAAAAGCGAACAGTGAAGACCATGTGACACGTGCGGGTAGATTCAATTTCCGCCAGCAGAAAGTTAATCAACACTAACAAAGTCGTTATTAACAATTGTCATTTTCTTGCTTATGTCAAAATTTGAAAACTTATTGAGGCAATGATTCATTATTAAAGTTCATTTTGTACATGTTCAAAACTTACGACGTAACAGAATCTTAGAAAAGTGTAACTAAACTATTTTAGTTTACTAGGAAATCCTTTGGTGTTTTTTCATAGGTTTATTTCAATTACTATAAAACATATTATTATGACTTAAACCTAAGAGGTTTAAGGAAAAGTGATGTAAGTTTTTCCTGTAATATAAGTTATAACAATTTATTCAAGTGTTTCCTAGTAGATAACTACAATAATACATTATTATACTCTTAATTATTTTTATTATACATACATTGTATATACATAAACCGGATAAGTTTTCTTAATCAACAAGGAAAAAGGTCGTTTTATTGGTAGCTAAGTTTAATAATATTTTATTGCCTAATAGTATATAGATATACATTAATTCACTTATATCAACAAAATTACACAATATACAAAAGGGTTGGGCCAAAAGCTATATGTATTTAATATAATATTCAGTAGATCTAATGTGGTTACGATATATTTGGTAGATACAATACACCATATGATAATCTAAGAGAAGTGATGATTCTAAACTATATTATAAACTACAATTACCATATTGCTATCCAAATTGCACAAAAAAGGAAAGTATCCAAATTGCTTACATGCCAGTATATGAAAGAATATGTCCATTTTTGTAAAAAGTGCATTAAGACAGAAATGCATATTTATTACAATGCCCTCTCTTTATATTAAAATACGTAATATCATCTATTGTGAGAAAGCTTAATCTGTAGATGATGGTTTTTTATGAGATGCCTGGAAATGACATGTTTGTAGACATGTTCTATCCCAAAGACATGCAAAATCCTGCTGTGATGAATTAAAACTGAGAAATAATACTTGTAGTATCATTTAGAAGGTCCCCACCCCGATATTTTGCTCCAAGATAAAAGAAATGGCAGGGCGGGATCCTCGGATCCTTAAGATTTGTCCTTTGGGGTTCCGCTCAAGCGTAAAAAGGGGAGATAAACGTAAACATTTGTTCAAAAACTATTGGCATCAAAAGTTCCTTAAAGTTTGCAAGTGCGCAAAAATCAGTCAAAGACCAACGAAATGGACTCTGAAGTGTCCTTATATGTAAATAATATCATTTTCACCATTGGCACCAAACTTCCTGAAAAGTCTACGATTTCCCCAGAATCAGTCGCAGACAAACCAATGGATTCTGGAGGGTCCCTATATGTCAAAAATGTCATTATCTCAATTGGTACCAAAATTCCTGAAAGTCAGCGAATGTCCCAAAATCAGTCGCAGACCAATCCAATAGACTCTGGAGGCTCCCTAGATGCCAAAAATTTTATCATCTCAATTGGAACCAAAAGTTTCTGAAAGTCTTCGACTATCCCAGAATCAGTTGCAACCAACGAAAAGGACTTTTAAGGGATACTAGAACAAAAAATAGATTTTAAATCAATTGGCACCAAAATTCCTTGAAGTCTTCAACGATGTTAGAAACAGTAGCAGACCAGTGAAATAGATCCTGGTATAATAGTTTGGATGAACTTTAACAATACATCGTTCAGAGTTATCCGTCGCATGGTATAACAGTTTGAATGTACTTTAACAATACATCATTAAGAGTTGTCCGTCGCAACGTATAAAAGTTTGAATGTACTTTAACAATACATCGTTTGGAGTTATCTGTCGCAAGGTATAAAAATTTGAATGTACTTTAAAAAAACATCGTTTGAAGTTATATGTCGCAAGGTATAAAAGTTTGAATATACTTTAACAATACATCGTTTGGAGTTATCTGTCGCACGGTATAAAAGTTTGATTGTACTTTAACAATACTACGTTTGAAGTTATCTGTCGCACGGTATAAAAGTTTGAATGTACTTTAACAATACATCGTTTGGAGTTATCTTTCGCACAGTATAATAGTTTGAATGTACTTTTACAATACATCGTTTGGAGTAATCTGTCGCACGGTATAATAGTTTGAATGTACTTTTACAATACATCGTTTGGAGTAATCTGTCGCACGGTATAAAAGTTTGAATGTACTTTAACAATACATCGTTTGGAGTTATCTGTCGCACGGTATAAAAGTTTGAATGTACTTTAACAATACATCGTTTGGAGTTATCTTTCGCACGGTATAAAAGTTTGGATGTACTTTAACAATACATCGTTTGGAGTTATCTGTCGCAAGGAATAAAAGTTTGAATGTACTTTAACAATACATCGTTCAGAGTTATCTGTCGCAAGGAATAAAAGTTTGGATGTACTTTAACAATACATCGTTCAGAGTTGTCTGTCGCAAGGTATAAAAGTTTGGATGTTCTTTTACACCTGTCACACGGTGTAAACGTTTGGATGTTCTTTTACAATATATGGTTAAGAGTTATCTGTCACACTGTATAAAAGTTTGGATGTACTTAAACTATACATTGTTCATCGTCAAATGAAGCTTTTAAAATCAGCTCCTTTAAATAACGTTACGCTTTAGGATCTGACATCCACCCATAGGTAGTCACCTTCTCGTTGCCAATCATTGGCGTGCTCTCTCTATTTTGAAGGCGATCCGGTTTCCAATTTAACCATTGGAAAACCAATAATGAGAAGGTAAGTTTCACACATTTATCACTAGCAACCTTTATCACTATACAACCTCTCGTTGTACTTCTTAATCATCATTTGAATTCAAGCTGTATTTTAAAGGCATTTTAAACATGTATGTATACATGTTTACATAGTTATCAGTTCCTTGCTTGCGAAAGTGCCGTGCTTCGAAGGTTAAACTACCGCTACCACCACCACTAACACAAAATCGTATTTTACCTTCGAGTCGACGGATTTTCTGCAAAAGATGGTCCGAGTGGGTGCATTCAGCAGGTGCGCGACGACGTAGTAGTCTACCATTGTAACACCACCAAGCATTATTTCGGTCAAGAGCAGGCGCCTGAAAAGAATCACTGATCCAGCTACATGGATTGAGCTCTTCCATACATGTAATAATCCAAAGACCGTAGCGGGATTGGAATCAACGTGTGCAACGACCGTTACCACTCTTCCGGAGAGATTCTCAATATAAAACTATACAATACAACGTCAATACACATTGATGAGCAAAACAAGGTGTGGAATATGGTAAAATAATTAACCATTGTATGTAATTCATCAGCCGAAAATGATCGTATTTTCATTAGAAATCTTAAAAGAATTTAGTAGGCTACAAACTAGTTGAATACAACACTATTCATAAAAGAAAGAAGTAGATCAAGTAAAAAACAACAACAAAAAAAACACAAAAAAAACACACAAACAACAGAAGAGTAGTAAAAGTTTAAAATCACAGACACAGTTTTTTTAAGTTTGTACACGATGGTTCATTGAAAGAAGTCGACTAGAGACAGAAACGGCCTGCCATAAATTACAGTATGCATATTTTCATTATGCATTGGTCTTTGAAATTGAAAACGATTTCCGTCTTTATGGTAAAAATTTAACTGAAGTGGGTTCATTAATTTTAATGTTGTTAACAACTTTTGTTGATTCCTTCTTTTTACGTAAACGAGGAAAATTCCAAAAAGCCACTTCATTTATTTTTAAGAGGTTCCGTGAAGACTTCCGCGAGAACATGCAGTATATAAAAACTGACCGGTTAATTGTTTATCATATACTTATATTGTAAAAAGCACAAAATTGCAGGGTGCGTGCTGATTATTATATGCATTCTATAATTTGATTTATAGGAAAAGCCATAAACTTCCAGATTTTCATTTTATTTCATATTTTTATATATTCTTTGCTGGTGTCTAGGTTGCAAAAATGAAGTTAACAACTTTGATTGCAGTCGGCGTTCTTGTGGCAATGTTTGCAAGCGTCTCTTGGGCAGATTCCTCGTCCTCGGAAGAGGTAAGCATAATTATGTCTTATCAATCTTTTTATTCTATATAAACAAGTATAGGATTTTTGAATTAGAAAAAAAAACTAGAAAAGAAACAAATAATTTGTTTGTTTGATTGGTGTTTACGCAAATTTTATATGGTCATATCTCGGAAAGCGATTCACTTAAAGGGTTTTCCCGGATAATTGACCAGTAATTAACAATTGCTTCTTATGTGACCGGCTACTTATCCCACATGGTTTTTGAATCAGCTGTGAGAGACAAGTGTCTGTGGAAAACATTCGTCTCTATCGAGGACCCCTTGATTAAAAGAAAGTTTTATGTTGTCCGTATTGAGCTTAGAGAGATAAAAAGAACAAATAAACACGCACAAAACATAACATAACAACGTTTAATACAAGTTCGTGATCTTAACTGTGGTCGCCAACAACAAGTCACTAAACGTTAAAATTTCACCAGGAATGCTTGAGTTTGACATCTGAGGAATATATACACCAAATATCGATGATTTTTCACAGGATATTTATGGTAAAACTTGAAAAAAGAAGGAATTATAATTTATACATAAACAATAAACTTGTTGCGTTTACCTCAACAAATAACGAAATAAATGATGGATCTAATAGATCTAATATAATACATTTAAGTATATACCGTGGATACTCATAGGCAAGAATGGTTACGCATTATTTTTCTTAAGAAAAAACTACATGCTAAAACCAATAATGCAATAAGATTAAACTCAATACATGTTGTAGTTCATTTTTTATATCATTATTAAACATCTTGATTTCATTTTTAAAACAGAGGGATCGCTATTACGAAGGCTATGGGCGAGGTTATCCCTCAGAGAACATCCAACAGGGTGGCCGTTACTTTGGCGACAGAGACCTTGACCGTCGCCACCACTTCCATCGTAATCCTTTTCGAGAGGACCGTCACTACTACAATGTGCACGGAGGGAGACCTAGATACGTGAATAGGGACAGCAGCGATTCAGCATCTATTGACTGGGATGAGTTTCTCATAGCTTTGTAAGTCTCTTATTTTCCAGATATTTTTATATTCGCAACAGTAATTTGTAACCGGTAGGTAATATGTACCAAACGTTTCATAGCGCAAAGAGATATTGCCAATTTTGCCATACCTACCAACCTACCTACCGACCGACCTAGCTTCTTTTGGTTGCCAATGCTCTATTTTTCTTTTCTTTTTTCTTTTGTTGTCAGTGCTCTAGAGGGTTCTCCTAAGTCCCATAATTTCAATATCTGCTTTCATATTTGCTTTAAACTGCTTTCATATTTGCTTTAATTTAAAAAGGAAAATGTTGCGTATATTGTTTGATAGACTTGTGCTGATAGCACGTTTTTATGGAATTAGAAGCATAAATTTTATATACATGTTTTCTACACACGGTAAGCTTCTAAGAGGTTGTTTTAGTGCTTTAAAGTCATTATATCATTTTGAGTAAGATTACATGGCATGTATACAGATTGGTTTTATGATTCATGTGGTTTTCGTCAAGGATGTGCCTTATCGCCTTTGTTATTTTATCTATTTTGAAATGTTCTAACTGTACAGATAAAAGCTACCAGTAGAGGTGTTCACATATACACCGTTTAAGGTTGTATTTCCTTATATGCCGATGATGTTGTGATAATTTCTGAGAAAGAATCAGATCTGCAATATTTATGAAGTATGAAGAAGTGAAATAGTTTTTAAATCATCATCTGTGGCAAGATCAACACAACTCTATGAACAGGCTCAATCAAAGAGCCTGCAACATGTTCAATTTTGTCGTTTTGAGCGTTCTTTGGGGATTCCGTTTTTCTCTGTTTTACACCTGGTCAACATAGTTTAAATATTGTCAAACAGTACTCTTATATCAGTATTCGTTCAGATAAGCATTTAGGTTTTGGGAAAACTGCCAAATGTGTTGAAAAAATTCGTTCAGATGAGCATTTAGGTTTTGGGAAAACTGCCAAATGTGTTGAAAAAAATCGTTCAGATAATCATTTAGGTTTTGGGAAAACTGCCAAATGTGTTGAAAAAATTCGTTCAGATGAGCATTTAGGTTTTGGGAAAACTGCCAAATGTGTTGAAAAAAATTCGTTCAGAGAAGCATTTAGGTTTTGGGAAAACTGCCAAATGTATTGAAAAAATTCGTTCAGATGAGCATTTAGGTTTGGGAAAACTGCCCAAATGTGTTGAAAAAATTCGTTCAGATAAGCATTTAGGTTTTGGGAAAACTGCCAAATGTGTTGAAAAAATTCGTTCAGATGAGCATTTAGGTTTTGGGAAAACTGCCAAATGTGTTGAAAAAATTCGTTCAGATAAGCATTTAGGTTTTGGGAAAACTGCCAAATGTGTTGAAAAAATTCGTTCAGATGAGCATTTAGGTTTTGGGAAACTGCCAAATGTGTTGAAAAAATTCGTTCAGATAAGCATTTAGGTTTTGGGAAAACTGCCAAATGTGTTGAAAAAATTCGTTCAGATGAGCATTTAGGTTTTGGGAAAACTGCCAAATGTTTTGCACAAAGTGCACAAAGATAATAGGCCAAATCGTGCTGTCGTAAAAATTGGTTTAACCTTAAAAGGCATTCCCTCGAGACATTCTGACTCCGCTATCAAAAATCATAGAGCGCAACCAAATTAATGAATATTGTAGGTAAAAACTTGATAATACATGTTTGTAAATGCAAAAAATGGAATAAATTCAAAAAATAATTTTTTTAAATTATGTGAAAATTTACAAAAATTTTTATAAATTAAAAAATTTTAAAGGTATTAATAAAAGGAAAATCAAGTGTCAATCATATGGGGTTAAAAGTCTATTTGGAAAGGGGGATTTTAAAGCAAGTTTTAAAAGAAAAGGGTTTTAAAAAAAATCATAAAATTTTTTTCTAAAAACAAAAAAAAATAAAAAAATCCCTAAAAAAAAACAAACACAAAATTAAAATGTTGCAGGTTTGGGGTTACTGGGCCCGTTTTGGGGGGTAGAAAGTGAGTTTCGTCAAAGCTCAAAACGGGTTAAAAGGATTCAAAAACAAAATTTTGAAAACCCGTAAATTTTTACGATTTTTGCCGCAAGGGGGACTAATTAAAAAGGGGGCCCTTTCGTAAAAATGGGATAATTACTGGTTAGTTAATCAGAAAACCGGTAATGTGGACCAACCGCTGAGATTTGACCAAAAAATGTATTAAAATCGCTATAAAAACAGGAAAAAAAGAATTAACAAAAATAAAAATCTTATTTCTTTTCAGGTTAAATGACCTATTTTAGAAGAAACAGAAAGAAGAGGTGCTCTCCAATGAGTGTCGGGATATGTAACAATAATCCAAACTGACAACATGATTTTCTAACTGACAACACTATTTTTCAACTGACAACATTATTTTCAACGTTACAACATGTTTTAAAATAAACTATTTTACAATTTCAAAGTCAATAAAATATTTAAATCCTAAAATCTAGTTATTTAATATAGGAAAATACGCTATACGACGTAATCCTATCCTATGCAAACCACCTGCGAAATTAAATAGATGATATCATAATCATGCACAAGGACCGAAGCCAGGACATGTCATCTGGAAAAGGACTTTGTTTAAAACCCAAAACGATAAACGATACTCCTCCCTAAAAGGGTGTTGTTTTACAAACGTTTACTTATCCAGGCAAGTTGCTTATAATAACTATCACATGTAACAGAAAATAGTAATCTGGGGTCTCCAAGATATTCGCACACTTTGGACATTTGACCTTGAATGTTAAGGTAATTTATGGATGAAGGCCAAGGTAAGTCTGGTCTACTAAAAGGCCTTGTCCCACAAATATGATCAAGGTAACGTGGACGGCAACGGCAACGCCGACATGACTGTAACAAAACCTCTATTTATTTATTTATTATTAAAGGTCAAGCTAAAAATGACCCAAAATTGAAAAGCGTTGCAACGTTTTTAAATCCAATCGGACTAAGAATAGCACATAAAAAATTTCTTCAGTTCATTTTTTGTAATATTTCTTAATTATCTTTTGCGTATCTTTCTAGCAGATCTACGAAAGTAATTTATATTTTGATATAGGCTTTGGACCTCAGAGGTGCTTTAAATACAGTTACTGTAAAAAAACGATGTTATGATAAATCACTGTGATAAAACTAAAATTTAAAATATTGAAATAGACAAAATATTTCTCTGTATATTTTTACAAATTATGATTAATGTCTTACATTAACTTTCTATCTGGGTTTTACAAATATGGCGGAAGCTTCGGGGATTATAGGGGATAAAAACATGTGTAAATCCTGTATTTCCAAAGCATTACAGGGGATTAGCGAGGGTTACTGGCGACAGTTTATCAGGCCGGTATATTACGTATATATTTCGGTTGAAAAATTGAGTTTGAAGTGTCGATAACAAAGTGGGATTTATTGGTAAATTTTCCTAAAAAGTAATCGATGAGGTAAATCCCAATTTTCTTTTTTTAAACGTATATATAAGTTCTCATTTAAGAAGGACTGCATTATAACTGATGCCAACCCCGACCACCTCCTTCTCTTTAAAAAAAAGCCCACTAGCAAATCAAAACTCATTGTTAAATTATCATGACAGATTTTTAGAAAAGTTCAATAACTGCTTTGCTATTAGAATGGATTACTTTTTTGGTATTTTCCCTTAGATAAATATCCTAAAACAAGTAATTATCTGATAACAAAAATCTGCTGGTGAGGCCTTTCATTTTTCTACAAAATGACAAATCAAAAGTCATATTTACTAGATAAAGTTGAAAAGAAATTATATTAAAATATGTTTAATACAATTTGGTATGAGTTAATACAGTGAGGAAAGATTGATAAGTATTGCTTGATATTTTGAAGCTGTCTTTTCTCATTTTACTTGTGTGTATGTCTTAGAAATATTATTCAACCATCTTTTAAATTAAAGAAATACATCTGATTGGTCAGTTTGTCTGAAAATAAATGGCTTTGACAATTTGTGTAGAATTGGAGTAGCGTTTATTGAACGCCGCTTTCCTTGTTGATCTTGTTTATCATATTTTATAAAGGAGCCGTTATGCAAGGGAGGCAAACTAAAGCGTAAAATTTTCCAAAAGCAAAACAGTTATGAATCTTTGTCTTGTCGAGTTATGTAATACAATGAAAGTTGATTTACTGCATATTGTTGTGAAAAAAATGCAACAAAATTATGTCATCGCAACGAGTTTTGCAATAAGTTATAAATAATAGCAAAACTCGTTTTATTGCAAAACCGGTTGTAACAAGGCTGCGATAAAAATTAAATTTAAAATATTGAAATAGACAAAATATTTCTCTGTATATTTTTACAAATTATGATTAATGTCTTACATTAACTTTCTATCTGGGTTTTACAAATATGGCGGAAGCTTCGGGGATTATAGGGGATAAAAACATGTGTAAATCCTGTATTTCCAAAGCATTACAGGGGATTAGCGAGGGTTACTGGCGACAGTTTATCAGGCCGGTATATAACGTATATATTTCGGCTAGAAAAATTGAGTTTGAAGTGTCGATAACAAAGTGGGATTTATTGGTAAATTTTTCTAAAAAGTAATCGATGAGGTAAATCCCAATTTTCTTTTTTTAAACGTATATATAAGTTCTCATTTAAGAAGGACTGCATTATAACTGATGCCAACCCCGACCACCTCCTTCTCTTTAAAAAAAAGCCCACTAGCAAATCAAAACTCATTGTTAAATTATCATGACAGATTTTTAGAAAAGTTCAATAACTGCTTTGCTATTAGAATGGATTACTTTTTTGGTATTTTCCCTTAGATAATTATTCTAAAACACGAAATTAACTGATAACAAAAATCTGCTTGTGATGCCTTTCATTTTTCTACAAATTTACAAATAAAAAATCATATTTACTAGATAAAGTTCAAAAAAAAATATATAAAAAAATGTTTAATACAATTTGGTATGAGTTAATACAGTGAGGAAAGATTGATAAGTATTGCTTGATATTTTGAAGCTGTCTTTTCTCATTTTACTTGTGTGTATGTCTTAGAAATATTATTCAACCATCTTTTAAATTAAAGAAATACATCTGATTGGTCAGTTTGTCTGAAAATAAATGGCTTTGACAATTTGTGTAGAATTGGAGTAGCGTTTATTGAACGCCGCTTTCCTTGTTGATCTTGTTTATCATATTTTATAAAGGAGCCGTTATGCAAGGGAGGCAAACTAAAGCGTAAAATTTTCCAAAAGCAAAACAGTTATGAATCTTTGTCTTGTCGAGTTATGTAATACAATGAAAGTTGATTTACTGCATATTGTTGTGAAAAAATGCAACAAAATTATGTCATCGCAACGAGTTTTGCAATAAGTTATAAATAATAGCAAAACTCGTTTTATTGCAAAACCGTTGTAACAAGGCTGCGATAAAAATTAAATTTAAAATATTGAAATAGACAAAATATTTCTCTGTATATTTTTACAAATTATGATTAATGTCTTACATTAACTTTCTATCTGGGTTTTACAAATATGGCGGAAGCTTCGGGGATTATAGGGGATAAAAACATGTGTAAATCCTGTATTTCCAAAGCATTACAGGGGATTAGCGAGGGTTACTGGCGACAGTTTATCAGGCCGGTATATAACGTATATATTTCGGCTAGAAAAATTGAGTTTGAAGTGTCGATAACAAAGTGGGATTTATTGGTAAATTTTTCTAAAAAGTAATCGATGATGTAAATCCCAATTTTCTTTTTTTAAACGTATATTCATAAGTTCTCATTTAAGAAGGACTGCATTATAACTGATGCCCAATCCCTCCCCCCCCCTCCCCCCAAATCCCCCTCTTAAAAAAACCCCTAGGGAAATCAAAAAATCTGATAAAAATCATTGTTAAATTTTCATGAAATAATTTTTGGGAAAAATTCAATAACTGCTTTTCTTTTAAAAAATGGAATTTTACTTTTTTTGGGGATTTTCCCTTTTGATAAATATCCTAAAAAAACCGGGAATTATCTGATAACAAAAAAATCGCTAGTGGGGCCTAGCATTTTTCTCAAATTGACCCAATTTAAAAGTCAATTAAATAGTAAAGGTTTAAAAAAAATTATATAAAAATTGTTTTTTACAATTTAATATTTTTTAGCCATTGGGGTTTTAAAATTTCATTTTGGGGAAGTTGATAAGTAGTGATTTGTACATGTAAATAGATACTTTGAAACTGCCTTTTCTCATTGTACTTATGTGTATTAAAAAATCATCTTTTTTAAGTAAAGAAATAAATCTGAATGGTAAGTTTGTCTTAAAATAAATGGATTTTTACAATTGTGTAGAATGTTTTATAATGGGAGTCATTATGAAGGGGAGGCAAACTAAACTGTAAAATTTTCCAAAAGCTAAACAGTTATGAATCCTTGTCTGTTGAATTATGTAATACAATGAAAGTTGATTTACGACACATAAAATTTCAATTGTTTTTTTTTTTTTAAACATGATTCTTGGTTTAAGTTTTCTTCCATTTTTTAAAATTTATAATGTTGGAGAAAATAAAAATAAATGGATCGAAAATTTGAAAAATTAATAACAATAACTTGAAAGAATTGTGGATAAACATAAATCACACTTTCTTATCGACATATCAAATCTTCATTTTTCCGGTGTGTCTTATGCGTATCTTTCTGTTTTGTGTGCCCAGGCTATCTAGAGAGATATTCAAATTTTGCTTTTAGGCTTTTGGACCTTAGTGGGGAATTGTTAAATTTACAATTACTTTTAATTTACCACTGCATATTTATTCAACCGACACAAACAAACGGATGACGGATAAGAGACTTTATATAAAATAAAACTTTTAATATGGAAATAGAAAAAAATTTTCTCAGCATATTTTTAAAAATTTATGAAATTTAAGTTCCCTTACATTAACTATTCTATCTGGATTTTTACCAAATATGGGCGAAAGCTTCGGCGATTATAGGGGATTTAAAAAAAAAAAATTTTCTTTGTGTATATTCCCCCCCGGGGGGGGGGGGGGCCAACTTTTTTTCCCAAAGCAATACAGGGATTAGCAAGGGTTACTGCGCGACAGTTTACAAAGGATTGGTTATTATAACTTATAATTTTTTGAAAAAATGGTTTTGAATAGTTTTTGGGATAACAAAGTTCGAGTTATTGGGGTTTAATTTTTTCTTATAGAAAAAGAATAGATATGGTCTTTGAAACGTAATTTTTAAGATGCTCAATTTTAAGAAGGACTGTTAACAAATGAATGCCAACTTCAACAGGGCCCCCGACCCCCCCTTCATCTCTTTAAAAAAAATGACAGCTAGCAAACCAATACTCATTGACATGTTTAATAAAAGTTCAATAACTGCTTTGCTATTAGAAAATATTTCTTTTTTGGGGATTTTCCCCTTTGATAATTAATTTTACCCAATCCCTAAGTCTATTTAGTAGATAAAAGCTGG